GAACCATTATTTCAACATTGTATTGACTGTGCAGTTTTGTGTAATGTGTGGTCATTGCTTATATAGATTTTGGGTTGACTTTAAATTTGTTAAGTAATATTTTTTCTTTTGGTCTGTACAATAGTTTCTTTTAACATACGAATACAAATGTTATATATTATTCTACTCGCTCTTGTTCGTTTACAATTTGTGGGTAATTTTGTCAATGATATTATTTTTGTCATTATTTCACTAGTACAAAAAAAGGTTTTCACATCGGTCAAAAAAGGCTTTTCACGTCGGTCGATGTAGTGGTTCCAACCCATGTGAAAAGTCAGTATTGACTTTTCACATCGGTCAATGAACCGATGTGGAAATTCTTTCTACGTCGGTCGTTCAGTGTCCGATCTAGAAGATAGTCCAAAACGACGTTTTAAATGATATTTCACATCGGTTATAACTCATGTAGAAAAGTAATCACATCGGTTATTTTACAACTGATGTAGAAAAGCTTCAATTTTTTCCGGAGCATAAGTTTTTCACATTGGTTATAACTCATGTAGAAAAGATTTCACATCGGTCATTTTTATCAACCGATATGAAAAGCTTCATTTTTTTCCGGAACATATGTGTTTCACATCGGTTATAACCCATGTAGAAAAGCAATCACATCGGGTTTTTTTTTAACTGATGTGAAAAGCTTCATTTTTTTGGTATTTTTCAAGGATTTTTGTTTGCAATATGACCCCTCATTTATACTATAATCACATCATTAACAGTATCATCAACTACTATAGCACAATTTTTCACTTGTTCACTTGATCCATCGAAAACAATAACACAAGCTATTCTTCAATTCTTCCACAAATGTTCAACAAGTTCAAGTAACAACTTATTAGTACATAATAATAAGCTAAGGGCCCGTTTGGTAGCACGAAAATCGGCTGTTTTGGCTGATTCTGCTGAAATTTATGAAGTTCTGGCCGAAGTGGCTGCATTGGCTGATTTTGCTGATACAAGAAAAAAATATTTTTAAAATATATTTTATTAATAAAATAAAGAAAAAAATATATGTAAAAATAGCTAAAATGATCATCTACAGTAACTTCAGCCAATACAGCCAGAAAAGTAACTCCAACCTTACTTTTTCGGCTTATTACACAATTCAGCGTGCGAAAGCAAAATTTACGTGTTTGGTAAAAAAGTTGGTTGATAAGTCTGATAAGCCGAAAATGAGGGTTGTCAAACGGTCTCTAAAATAAAACAATCCTTGCACAAGTCTAGAGTAATAACACATTGTATAAAGTTACAAGTCTCATCATCACTCAAAACCTTACACAAACACGTTCATCATGTGTCGTTGATGGATTGCATCATTTCTAAGAAATATGATGCCCAACGAGTTCGTACTTCATCAATCTCTTCTGATGAGAATGGTTCCGGATTGACGAATCGCTACATATTAAATAAGAAGGTTATTAAAAAATATTACATGGAGCAAACCTATTGAATTTAAATAAAATAATAATTTACTTCATCCCACATTTCAAGAATTACCGCCGAAACAATGTTCAACATATGCAACATCACATAATATCCACATTCATAACTCCCAACTTCAATTCCAGACTACATTTAGAACAACATAATTACTAATCAAGAATTATGGTATTAAATATATGCATATTATGTACAAGTAACTTTTAAATTATAAACCAAAAGTTGAAAAAAGACCACCAATAGAAAAGCCAACTACGAGATAGTCACATTAGCAGGTCAATTAGTTATATCGGTCAAAGCTCATCAATCTGGGCAAAAAAATATGAATAAGCCACTTTACCAAACAAGATCATCTTATGCACACATCTATAAGAAAGTATAGGGAGCGTATGACTTACTCTCAAGATTTTCTTGAAGCCACCCTCTTTTGACAACTGGTAAAAGGTTAATGCCACTGTAAACACATAATAGTATATAAAAATCAAATCCTCTATGAATCATATATTTTTATACATGTATTTGTGAACATTTTACAAGTTAAGGCAGATAACAAAGAGATTCGAAAATCTAACTGAGTTGGACGACATCGAGCAGAACTTTTATATTACCCAAAATCCTGATACAATATGGGAGTATTAGCAGTTCTGTTTAGCAAAAGTCGGATGCCAGTCACAACCTATTGAGTACAAACGTTGATCGTGCCAATAAATATACTATGTAATGATAATAATATTAAAAACAATAGCAATAATGACAATAGCAACAATAATGATAATAATACAGAGTAGTAAATGATAAGAACTTGTAAACGTATGTACTAGCCTAGTGAGGAGCACGAACTTGATCATATGATAAGTACCAGAACGGAACAAAGAGTGTGGATATGAATGGTGATTGAGTTGATAGAGAGGTATTATAATAAGCTTCTAATAAAAAAGTAAAAGGAGTCCAACAATTAGTAGTAGTAAGCACGAGTATAGCCAAGAAACATTCATAATATAAAAACCACTATTACAAAGCCTAAATTTACATATTCAGAAACTACATTAAAATCGCTACAAAGCCTGATAAAAAAATGTAAATGTGATAAAAGTTTGATATATAAAGCAAAAGATTAAAAATAATTTAAGTTGACCATATAAATAGTGGACGAGAATCTTCTCATGGGACGGAGGTAGTAACAAATATTTTTAAAAAATGTTTAAGGAATAGGGAAATGGTAGCATAAATCCATATTCTTTCTAAAACATGTACGTAGTTTCTTTATATCTGCTACATGCTATGATGAACATTGCCAAAAGATTCAAACACTTGACTGCCCAAGCTTACGTTCAAACAAATGCTTTAGGAGAAAAACTAGTAAAAAACTAGCGCCAGTTAGATCTGCAGACTCGTACAATTGTACAAAGCTTTGTGAAGTGCCCTTTTGCTTATCCCTGCATTCAGTATAGCTTGTCGGTCAGTCTGAGCCTCTAGCCAATGCTGCTCAAACTGAATATAATCACTACTAGAAAAATAGCTATTTGCTGCAGTCATTTTTAGCTATTTGCTGCGGTTTTGAACCGCAGCAATCGGAAGAGCAGCAAATTGTAGGAAAACGTATTTGTTGTGGTTCAGAACCGCAACAAATAGCTATTTAAAAAATGAATTTTGACTTATTGCTGCGGTTCAGAACCGCAGCAAATAGCTTTTTTAAAAAAATCAATTTTTTGACTTATTGCTGCGGTTCTGAACCGCAACAAATACTCCCTCCATCCCGGAATTATCTTCATTCTTTCCTTTTCGGTCCGCCTCAAATTTATCTCCTTTTTCCCTTTTTGGTTAAGAATATGTGGTTCACAACCATTCTTACACATTTTTCTCTCCTCTGCATAACTCTCCACCACACAAGTCCCACTATCTTAAAACTCGTGCCCGGTCAAAACCGGAGTTAAATATGGGACGGAGGGAGTAGACGAGTAGTATTATTTTTTAAATAAAAAATTGCAACAAAAAAAATCAAAAAAAGCTAAAATTGAAGTAATTATTTTTGTTTTGTTATACTACCCAAATGGACAAGTTTACAAACATGGTGTTTCAAACCAAAACATATGCTATTTATAAAATAAGAAACATTCAAATTACAACACGATCATCTTACATCTTAAACCAAAATCATAATTCCAAAAGAACTAAGGTATACATCACCAAAGTTCACTATGCATACAATAGAAATCCTGATCTTTTAAAGTTTATAAAAACTAATACCTAGTAGTTTACAATAAATTATCATACACTTGTATCACCAATGCATCGCAAGCTTCGCACACTTCATCTCTCAACAAAGATTGATTGCTTCCGGTACTCCAAGAAACCTAAAATATTAAAAACACAGTTAGAGAAACACATATGTATCATAACAATTATATAAGTGGCAAAAAGGCAAACAATTGACTTTCAACCCAACAGCTTAAGTAAGCCAAGCTGATGCTATTGTTGGAGTTGGAGCCGTAGTTAAACCAACAAGAGCAACCCCCGGCCCAAAGAACCCAATTGACTACAAAGAGAAAAAACAGATAAGATCAAATAATAGATGCCTTAGAAGATAAAAAACAGATTCTGAAATGACAAGATCAAACAGTCCCTTTCGAACTTGGGAAAGAAAATAAATAAGAAAATAGATACAATAAATTTGGACAGAACTAAATTGTGTAGTAGGAAATTTAGAAGGAAATATACTAATGGGAAATAAAAGAATCACTTCACACTCCATAAATCAATTGTAGATATTTGTTCAAAGTCATTTTATTTAAGTATATATATTAAATAAGATCTAGAAGTCTGAATATATATATACAGTTTTAGCTTTTAAGAAGTTCTAACCAAATATGATTTTCCTTCATTTTTACCAAGGTAAACCGATCAACATAAAAATTTATTCAATCCATTGATTCGACAACCTTCCTTTGATCTAAAGGAGTGGGTAAAAACAACTTGAAAGTTACCAAAGATTGGAGTTCAATCTATGCTTACCTCACAGTTTTGTTGGAAGTATGCCACTACAAGAATTTTCGCGTTTTACTGTCGGATTATCCGACACTAAATCTGTCAGTAAACGCTTTGATGGCGGATTTTAGTGGCGGATCCTGCCGTCGCTAAAATCTGGACATTAATCAAATTAGCGTCGGATAAGCTCGGTAGACGCAAATCAGACACGGAATTTAGTGGCGGCTATTCCGTCACTAATGTTTGTGTCGGATATTCCGCCACTAATATCCGTCAATGATTTATTTTTGTGAAACTAGGATTTTTATTTAATAAAATATAGTTTTATAATATAAATACAAATTCTTTTTAAAATTCGTAATTTTGTATACAAAAAAACGTAATTATGTCCATCATTGATTTAAGTTCTTATAAATAAAATCTTTTAAATAACATATACATATACATGTTCAACAATATAAATTCAATTTAATAATTATAAAAAATCTGTATACTAAAAATGTAATAATAAAATCTAGAGACAAATAAACAAAACACATAGCAACCATATTCAACACATATTATTACATACTTTGGTCCAAAACTTGCTAAGAAATAAAAACATTCATCATTAATCAATTCATAGTGAAATTTAACAACTTGAAATAGAAACGAGATAGTAAAATTAAACTTAACACGAATCTAATGACAAACTAATGAGAACATGATTCATCAAGACTGTCTCCCGAGTCTCTAGAGGATTCCGATGTTGCAAAGAAAGTGGGCGCATCAATCCCTATTGATTTTAAAAATGGAAGCCATGTTTGTTCAAAGTTCTTAGGCTGTGAATCGGGCTCCTCGTCTTGAACAAGATCATCTACAATTGGCATAACTGGGGGGGCTTCATCACCCTCTGAAATTCACACCTCCCTCATGCGTGCATCCCAATAAACACAAAATTCACGCATCCGGCGAGCTCTTGAAGACAAACGTTCTGTACTTGACTTATTTACATGATGAAGGAAAGCTTCTGAATAGCTGCCAAGTCCACCAACTCTCATCTTTTTGCACCCAACAACTTCCAAGTATTTGGAAGACAATTTAGTTGATGAGATCTTGGGTGTTGTTGAACTTTCTTCTTGACTTGAAGGCTGAGACTGTTGTTGGAAATCATCTTGACAAGCATTATACAATTTACTCAAAGCATCGTATACAAGAAAAAATAACAAACTTAAGTAAATCTGCACAAAAAAATAACAACATAAAATGCCATATGCCACTTTTTACAGATTTTGACCTAAAATATATACTAGGATAAGTTCTGCAGAAAAGAGGAACTAGGCAAGCATAGCATACCATGTTTAGACTAGAAGAGTCTATAATAGTGTAACCATCAGACCTAGTTGAGGAAGCAAGCACCACTGCTTTCAACTTTTATAGTGTAAAATCTTTCCACATCAAAAAGCAGTCTTATATTCAATACAAAGTGAATTATTTCTATTCTAATGCAGACCTGTCCACGATATGAATATCATATTACGTATAAATTAAGGCCTCATTCAAAGATTGATGTCTTCCTGCACTTCAATTAGCCATCAAACTTTTATTATTACATAAAAATTGAAAAATCATAAAACACACCCCTCCTTTAACTTGTGTGGCTAGCTTAATTTAGTATCTTTTTTTAGACCATGCTCTCAACGAGAACAACTTTAAAGGGACTGGAATATTAGTTTGTAACTAAAATAGTTGAAAATTACATAGAATATGCAGACTACGGAAGGAGATAGGTAACTCATTACAATCTAATTTAGACTTAAATCTAATTGTCTTTTTAGTATATAACAGATTATGTTTAAAGCAAACTAAAAAGAAACGTAACTACATACCTTCACCACATTTTGTGAGGGACATGTAATAAGCTCTCCATTCTTCCTTTTCTCTGGATGATAAATACCATACATCTTCACAGGGTTTATGTGTTTGCCAGTGGCTCTCAACTAAAATAAATACTCAAAATCAAATAAATATGATGAATTAAGTAAATGTATGACAGATATGCTAACATCAACTTAAATTTCAACCTCTTGTGTAGCTAAATCAATAGCGGATTGAGACCCTCCGTATTGCTTACACCTATCTCCACCTGCAATGCGATTTTTTTTACCAGACTTTGATGCCTTGACAAACTGTATAGACTTCTTAAATTCTTCAACAATAGACCAAGTGAAATCATTCACAGTTGGAGGTCAAGTTTTCCTTGAAAGTTTGAATTAGTTAGATAAACAAATGAAGTAAACCATGTATGTTGACAGAAAAAATGAATATTCAAACAAATATGAAGCATTTATTTTACTACCTTAATCGAGTCATGATTTTGGAGTAGGCTTGTTTTTTCAAATACTTTAGATAACCGGCTTTTATTTGTTCATCACTGAACTGCTCACTATCCCAAGTAACTAACCTCTGTGAAATGAAAATAAGTTATTTAAGAAACAAATTATATGAAAAAATGATTTATTATAGAAGAAAATGATTTATTATAGAATTAAAATTACCTGGAACTGATCCCAATAAAGGTCTTTTGTTCTTGTTGGTACCCATTGCCATCTTTGGCCAGCCGGGTGCAAATTATATGTGATTTGCCTACCCACAATTTCCTGAAATTTTAAACTGGTTTGGTTGATAACTATGTTTGTTAGGCTGCATTTAAATTGTGTGAGTTAGTTTACATAGTTACAGAGAAGTTAAAATAAAAAAGAATGTATAAAAGTAGTAAGGGTGAACGGTGAAACTCACTTCTTAGTTGCGTTTAAACGAAGTGTGTTGATCGAGTGACTTGGGGCGAGGAGATACGGCTGCGACAACGAAGTGTGTTGATCGAGTGACCTGGGGCTGGGATTTTAGGAGGGTTGGGTTTGAACTTTGAAATGTGTGGATCTAGTGAAAAGGGAAGCTGGAAGCCTGGAACATCTAGGGGCATTTGTTGCGGTTCCGTATGACCGCATCAAACAGGTATGAGAATGAACGTGTTTGTTGCGGTTCTCCTATCCGAAGCAAAAAAAAAAGGAAATTTATAAATATTTGTTGCGGTTCCTACGTGACTGCGGCAAAAAGTATCAAATTTTCCAACTTTTTGCTGCGGTCGTGATATAACCGTAGCAAATACTTATGAAATTTACCTATTTGCTGCGTTTTTACTAAGAATCGCAGCAAATAAGTAGCAGAAAATAAGGAAAATTCTAGTGGTGAATATAAAGCTTCCTCTATCTTGCCAATGTATTCAAACAAACGCATGAAATGTTCATCTATATGTCTATAATTCTACTCCTAACTACTAAGGGAAAACATATTTAATTGGTGGCTGAGTTAACAATTACGATTTAACCTAATGGCCTTTCATTTTCAACAATCGAGTGATGATATGATCATGTCATGTGTTCATGTTTGAGACTTTCTGGACTATGGCGAACATTTCAACTGTGACGAAGTTTGATGCACCCCCCCCCCCCAACACCCTCCATTCCACCAGTCCCCTCCCCAGCTCATCAGAATCCTCCCCATCCCACCAGCCCCCTCCCCAGCTCCCCAGTCCCCTCCCCAGCTCACCAACACCCTCCCCATTCCCCTCCCCATCCCACCAGCCCCCTCCCCAGCTCACCAGCACCCTCCCCAGCCCACCAGCCCCCTCCCCAGCTCACCAACACCCTCCCCAGCCCACCAGTCCCCTCCCCAGCTCACCAAAGCCTCCCCATCCCACCAGATCCCTTCCTAGTTCCCCAGTCCCCTTCCCAGCTCGCCAGCACCCTCCCCAGTCCCCTCCCCAACCCACCACCCCCTTCCCATCCCACCAGCCCCCTCCCCAGCTCCCCAACCCCCTCCCCAGCCCCTTCCCAGCTCACCAGTATGGTTTTGAAAGGTGTTTAGCCTTTACGCACCTGAGGAGCAAAGGCGTTAATGCGTTCGGTAATAGCCTGGAAGGCTTAAGCCTTATCCTCCGCTAACAAGGTTTACGCCTTTGTTGAAATCGTACGGCTAAAATGCGTCAGATGCTTGAGCGGGGAAATGTCTCCTAAAAAAGCAGTGTATTCATAAAACAAAGGCTTTTTCCTAATGGGGGCACACAACAGATTCATTTCTAAAATGAATTTTATAAGTCAAAAAATTCAGTTTGTTTGACCCCCATTCCATTTAACGTACAATCACACCTAGATTTAGCCCAGTCCAAGCAACACTTATACGGAGTATGTTACTAAAAACAATACTATTGAAAGCAAAACTTCAATTTAGGTGAAAGAAAACTTAAAGAAATTTGACTCAAAGCAAAACTAAAATAAAAAATGTCTAAATAAAACATAGAAATCCTGACTTGTACTCGAGTCCTCGACGCCGTCCTATTCCTCGCTCGAATGTTATCCTGTGTGCGGTCAAACTCTACGCGGTCGAACGCCATTCTATGCTCGCTCGAAAACTAAAAGAAATTTGACTCAAAGCAAAACTAAAACAAAAAATGGCTAAATAAAACATAGAAATCCTGACCTGTACTCGACGCCGTCCTATTCGTCGCTCGAATGTTGCCCTGTGCGCGGTCGAACGCCGTTCTACACTTCTATGCTCACTCGGAACGCCGGAGCCGCGATAATTGTACACCACAGTCGGCTTCAGTCGCGGTGGTCGATGGTCCGACTTCAGGCCATTAGTATTCCGCCGACCCTGTCTTTGGTTGCTGGTCCAACAGGTCGGCCAAGAGTGTTTGTTCGCTAGGTTGGAAACGGGAAGTAGCAGATACGGATGAAGGTGCTTTTTTAAGTTGTTTTGTACATCGGGCAAAGTAAAACCGATGTTGACTAAACTTTCATTAATCTAAAATTTTACCCCATTTTTTTTCAAGATCGGTTTTTGGGAGACCCGATGTTAAAAGTATTTTTAAAATTTTAAAATATACCCGTTTCACTATTTGACATCGGTTATACCAACAATTGATGTTAAAAAGTTTATCAAAATTATAAAAATGACCCCGTTTCACTATTTTACATGTGTTTTGATATAACACATGTTGAAAAAGTGATGTAAAAGCCCTTTTTTGTACTAGTGTTTCTTGTTTAATTTTGGAATTTCGCTTCAATTTGTGAAAACATAAAACACTTTCTCTAATTTTGCGGGTAAGGATGTTTTTACTTGGATTGTAATTTGTTTGTCTAGTCTGGTCTATTCGAGTCTGGTCTAGTCTGAATTGGTCTGATCTGGTCTGGTAAATGTCTGGTCTCTGCATATTTTATAACTACGAGAGTCAAGTCTGATCTGCTTCGCTCTGCTCTGTTAAGTCTGGTTTAATATGATTTTTTAAAATCTGGTCTAATCTAGAACTAAAAATGATAGAAGTTAAAAAAATGTCTCTTTTTAATCACGGAGCATGAATTTTGCAAATTTAGGAGAAAAGAAGAGAGTACGTTTCGAAAACGAAACACGGTGTTGACCTTATGCAGCCTCCATTCTTGACTTTCATACCTTGACTATTATTACTTCAAACTTTAGACTTCTTCTTCTTCAAAAAAAAAAAAAGGTTAATTAGTGCCGTTTGTTGTAATTCACCCCTTGTTTATTACTCCGTATCTAATTTCCCTTTTTTGCCATATCCAGTTACTGAGTTAGCAATACTTAAATACAAATTATACAATACAAAATGCTTGGGCAATAGAGAGAAATCCAGTTACCAAATCATTCCACTAAAAAGAGGATTAAAAATGAATAGGGTCTTTCTATGGTACCTCTCTTAATTACAAGTGCACCGTACATTTCAGTAGATAACCCATTTAAAACATTACACGTGTCCATTTCATTTCCCTCTTCTATTTCACTTTCGTGTGTTCTTCGTCAACATTTGATTCCACCATAGCCATGGGAACAACAAGTCAAGCCCAATGCGAGCCCAACATCGTCATCGTCCCTTCATCCACCTCCTTCCGCCTCCGAAGCCCCGGTCTGAACTTCATCTGCCTCCGCCGCATCTTTGACATGTTCGACCGCAACATCGATGGAATGATCACCATCGACGAGCTCAACAAGCCGAGAATCAAAGTGATAGGCAAGAATCGATGGTCTGCCAAAAATTGGCTTTTTTCTGTAAGCTCACAGGCGGTTCTCTGGGCTCCAGCAACGTTTTTCGGCAAACACCTCCAGATCAATGGCGGCAAAAATTAACACCGGCAACCATCAACGATGGTCTGCCTCTCTCTCCGCTCACTCCCTCTCTCAACGGCAACGGTGGTTCAACACCCTCTTCAACCTTCCTGGTTTCCTGGGTTTGCCACCTTGTCAGCCTCCCGTAATACATACGTAGTAATACTCCCTAACAAATTACGAAGTACTAGGTACTATGGAGTATACTTTATTTGGTAACGTGGCACCATAATGTAATTTGATTGGCTTTGAAAATTTGGTGTACCGGTACATTGAAAATTAATAAATGCACCGTAGAATTTTCTAAATGAATAACAATTTCAGAAGGAGAGGAGATAAAGGGGCCGTTTGGAGCCTATAAAATGGGCTGATAAGCCTTAAAATAGAAAAAAAAGAGTCAAACACTAGCCATTTGGGCTGTTAGGGCTGATATTACTTATCAGCCAAAAAAGTAGTCTAACCCTTACTTTTTGGGCTGATTTCTATTATAATACCGTTAACCATTAAAAAGACATAGCTATCCCCTGCTTTTTACGTACATATACTTCTTCCCTAATTCTCCTTCAGATAGTAGTTGTTTAAAATAGATTTATGAAATTAAACATTCCTTATGAAAATGGTTAACGAATAGTAGTTGTTTAATTCTTTTAGTAAATAGATTTATCGGGAAGTAGTTATTAATTCTTATTCCTTATAAATTCTTTAAACATTCTCTTCTTAACCGATTTATAAATTCTCTTATAAATCGGTTCATTAAAAGTACTTATTATATCTTTTATAATCGTTAACCCAATTGAATTCCTTATGAAATTATTTATGTCATCTTAGTTAATAGATTTATCGTAAAGTAGTTGTTTAAAATAATTTAAAATTCGAAGTAAGAGTAAGAATGAAATCTCCAAACTAATCAATTATTTAAGTAGTCTTATAATTGCCTAATCAAACAAAACTAGTTTATTAGTAAAATTAAGACCCATATATTTAACACAAATAAGCTAATACCCTTTATAGTAATTTTATACACAATCAGCCATTTCAGCCAATATAATACCAAACACTTTCACTTCAGCAATTTAAGTCTTTTCAGGCTTTTCAGCCATTCCAGCCAGTGCAGCTGTCACCAAACAGGCCCAAAGTATCTTTTTTTTCTTCACATGGTATATTATTGCACTTTGAGGAAATTAAATTGTAATAGTTGTCGTTATGATTGTTAATTTACTTCATAATACTCCATGTTCTCATAATACTCCTTTTTTAATGCTAATATTTTTCTCTTAATTTATGTATGATAGTTGCTCAATCTTGAATATTCGTTTGTAATTTGTAATGTAAGTTAGATATAACTGGCTTGAGAATAAGTCGGGTCTATGTCGAAACATAGTGTTGTCGAGTCAGACCCAACGGGTCCCAGATTCAGATCGGATAGACTTATAGATCATTCCATATGAAGTTAAAATATTGTAGATTTCCTAAAAATCATAGCTACATATTTGAATTGATTCACTCAGGAAAAAATCATAAAAAGAGTACGTGAAAAGTAGAAATAAAATAAAGAGTTTGAACCAAATTACATAATTTTGATAAAACAAAATCAAAATTGAATAACAAAATTAAAACAAAAAGTAAACATTTACTTTTAAAATAACAAAAGATGTGTCATGTGTGTATAGAGCGGTCACTAGATATGCATTTGTGCATTGTGTGAGAGTAGTTGGATTATGTAATTTATAACAGATAAGAGTTTTTAACGAGTTGGAACCACATTGACTATACTTGATCTATTTATAATAAAAACATCAGAATACTACGTATGAAAGATAGCTACAATAGTTTTTAACAATAACTTCAATCAGTTCCATCAATCAAAGGTCAGTTCAATCAAACAAATAACTTCACATTCAGTTATTTTGATGCTTTGTGCAAAATTAAAGACGTAAACCCTCAAGCTATTTGCGATTCTGCAATCAAGCTCATGAACATGAAGATTTGCAATACACTCATTGAAAGTTAAGCAATATAATCCTCTTTACCTGCATCATCAGGTAAACAAGGATACGATTGTTTAATTTTCAACAAGGATTTGATAGTTGGAAGATTATTTGCGGTTTTCTCTGTTTTTTATTAAAAGAAATTGAAAATGTGAAAACCAATCCATATCATACTACCGGGTTGGGAACGCTTCCTGGATGCTTTTATACAAATGCATTTGAAAAAGGTGATGACTCTTCTATATTTTTTGATAATCCAGGGGCTTAGACTCCCATAGTACTGGCTCCAAAGGACGAATCCAGCAGGACTTACATTACCTTTCAGACTTCTTCTCCCATCACACGAACCCGCTAACTTCATTATCATTCTCTTCCTTCTCAGCCGCTGAGGAACTCCGCAATGGTAGGAACAATCATTGGGAGCAAAACCTCTCTCATCTCCCTTGATGAGAAATTGAGAATTGAATCCAAAACCTCCGCAAAGAGAGACTTGGGGCGGATGGTCCCACTTCACCCACCTTCCCACGATGGCTCTTCTACTTTCTACAGGCTGGTGTAAGTGCATAAGGTGTTGAGCCGTACACAAGGACTATTCTTCTTCATTTTTGTATTTTCCTGAGTATATATATCCACGGGCCGATCACGCCTGACCTGACAGATATCATTGACCAAACTCTAACCCTGTAAGTCAGCACTCGGGTCGGGTATTGGTTGAAGCTATGGCGATTGCTGCTCGTTCTTCTTCAGGATGGGTGCTCGTTCTGGTCGCAGTAGCAGCCCTTGCTGTCGGAAGAGTTGCCGGAAATTCTGAAGGAGACGCTCTCTACGCGCTCCGGCGTAGCCTTTCAGACCCGGATAAAGTGCTCCAGAGCTGGGAACCCAATCTGGTGAACCCTTGCACCTGGTTCCATGTCACTTGCAACAGTGAGAACCGAGTTACTCGCCTGTGAGTCCACTTTTCTCTCCCTCTATTGCTTAAATTATGTTTTGATTTTTATTATTTCGAGTATATCCTTTTTTACTTTGCTTGGTAGATGGAGAGTTAAAGGTCATTTATGTTGTTATTCTAAATTACTGAATGATCTGTCAGTGAAAGATCCCTCTTTCCTTTCTTGTGTTATGTGCAGTGTGTATGCGATCTGTTGAATTGTTATGTTCTCCTCCCTTGATTTGTGTTAAACGATTTATCCCAAATGGAATTAAATTTATGATACAAGCCTGGGTAGGTTGTTCTATACTCTTTTCAGAAAGAGTTCTGATCAGCTATTCTACAGTGGCCGATCTAGGATTATATGTTATTGGGGGCAGGGTAATTAAAAAATGAGTTAGAAAAATAGTATTAATGTAATATTAAAATAGCAAAAGTTTTAACAAAATACATCAAAAATATTGCGCCGAGTTTTCATCTTTTGGAAGAGATCCATTACAGTATCATTTGAAACAATTTTTGTGGGAAGTCATGACCACGTGGCAGACAAGATCCTTTAATCAAATATTTTCTCCAGATTTTATCTATTTGTTTAAGATGATATCCTTAAATTTTTCTCCTTTTTGTGAGATCTAAGGCAAGCTCTTCTAAATCGAATTCTTTAATTATTGTAGAGAACATTAAGAAGCACTATTAGAAACATTACTATTTGAACTATCGGGTGTTGGTGAAAGAACGGTAACCCAATATCTCTTCATTGAGTCTCTAGAACAAGTTATATTAAGCAAAGTCTTTTTAATACATTAATACATTTTAATTAACCACCTAAAATAACATATTAGTTACATTTAGGAATTCTATCTTAATTGTTAAATGACATTTTCTTTTTTCTAATAGTGTAAAACATTAGACAAATTACATATTTATGATTAAAATAAAGATTCTTTATAAAAATGTGACTAGTGACTAGATTAGGAACGAAATTATAGTAACTTATGTTCAACTTTTTCACTTAAGTTCATGACACTACATTAGTTGTAGTAACTATTAGTCATATTTGTGTAAATGAGTTTTATAATAGTAATATTTTTGAAAACACTCTTAAAATAAATCTAATCGATCCTTCTAAAAAATTTATATCCAATTGATATAAATCAATACTCCTATATACATTAACAATATTATACGGAGTAATATGTTTAATTAAAAAAAATTAATACTTATATTTAAATAGAAGTTAAAAACTACTGTATAGCCTTAAATAAGTAAACAACACAATGATCACATACGGATGTATGAATTAAACAACTAAACAAGTATCCAACCATCAAAAGCAATCAAAGTCAACACACCAACAATAAATTGATTAATAGATACTCGTAAAAGAAAATAAAAATAATGTGAAGATGTTTTTATCCATCAACGGTGTGCGGCTAACCCATTACCTCTTGGATTACCCATTACCTCTTGGATTCTAGAGCGGGCAGAAGGATCATTGGTTGATTGGGGGCAATCCTTTTTTTTATTGGGGGCAAACATTTGAACTTTTAATATTTATAAACAAATTAAAGGAAATTAGTGGGTCTTTATTGGGGGCAGCTGCCCCCCCTCAGCTCTTAGTAGATCCGCCCCTGCAGTATTCTATATGGATTTCATACAAGATTTATGATCAGCATGCATCCTTTTCACGCCCAATTGCAAAAATCTAAAAGACTTCAATTATAGTTCTCCTATTTTGCATCTACTTCTTCTCGTTCCTGACTATTATCTTGATATTCATCATGAATATGGTTTGTAGTTCATAAAAGAATCTCGATTTGTATATTATCTACTGCAGGGACCTTGGAAACGCAAACCTATCTGGGCATCTGGTGCCTGATCTAGGGAAGCTTGAGCATCTAGAGTATCTGTGAGTTTTCTGTTTACATGAAATATCTTAATAACAAAGGGCCCATTTGGTAGCCTCTATTTTTGGCTTAACAACCAACTCTTTTACCAAATATTGAACTTTTGATTTCGCGTGCAGAATTCTTTAATAATCAAAACAAAAATAAGTAAGTCTGAAGTTATTTTCTAGCTGAACTGTCTGATTTTGCTGATGAGGACATAATACAAAATGAGATCTGACAATGATAGCGTTTCATGAAATTAAGATAATATAGTACACCAATAAGTACTAACTAACAAGAGACCTCTTTTTCAGTGAACTTTACAAAAATAACATTCAAGGGAAAATTCCTCATGAGCTTGGTGAATTGAAGAACCTTAAAAGTTTGGATCTGTACAACAACAACATGTCTGGGAAAATTCCTCGTTCATTGGGGAAGTTAAAAAACCTTGTCTTCCTGTAAGTCTCTGTACTCAACTTTTCTTTCTATCCTTCTATTGTACCTCCTGCCTGAAATTATGTTTAACTTTTACCTTCTAATTTATTTGCTTAGGGTAATATAGTGACATTATCATTTTCACCTTCTTAATGAACATCTGAGTAATGCGATATTTCACAAGAACCAAGATAGACCTAGTGGCGGATCCAGAAATTCCACTTATTGGGGGCACTTTTATGGATGTGTTTATCTGTAACTCATAGTAACTTATTTTAAGGGGGCTTTTGGGATCTGCTTATGAAAATTGCTTCTGCTCCTTCATGAAATATATGCAAATATTGAAGTGTTTGGGTGAAAGTGTAGAAGTACTTTAAATGCTTCAAATTGCTAGTAGAAGTAAATTTTGAGAAGTTGAGGTAGACCAGCGTCTGAAAAACTAATTCTGATTATGCTTCCGTTGTAAAAAAACAGATTCAAAATCATTTCCAAACAGCGCCTAATAATTCATCTCTAATTGATTGTCTTTCTTGGGTTTGCACGGTTGTTAATTAATTTTTTTCACTAATATTACTTTTAGAAAAGTGGTGAACAAAAATGTAACTTGGTAATTTTTAGTGACTATAATTGTGTTCAAAATAATTACTACTCCGCTATAATATAGTGACTATGATATAAACTTTGACACAACTATTGCTAGTAATAGTTTTTAAGTCACATTTTTGTTCATGAATTTTTTTATTAATAATATTTTAGAAAAAACATCTATTAATTAGGTGATTGAAAAAAACATTGTTGGTTAACATACTTTTTCAAAAATGGAAACTCAACAATTATTTTATGACACTTGGTTTGTTCTTCTTTAAGACTAAAATAAATCTAAGTAAAAACATTATTATTTTGAAGAGAGAACGATAATATCACCTAGAGAATTATTTACTAAAAATGATGAAATAGTTTAGATAAGGGTGAAAAGATTTATGGATAAAAATGGAAATGGAAAATCAAAAAACTTTAGCTAGTCTTAAATTTCAAACTCAAGTAAAGTTAGTCCCTAACCACGTAGAAACTAAATATATATAAAAATTCAATCAAAGAACTTGGTAAAACTCTTTTTTATGGCAAGTGATTTGTGATCATAGATTAAAAAATAGATTAAAAAACGGTAGACATGAAAATTTAATGGGGGCATATCAAATTTTTAATGGGGGCATATCAATTTTTTAATGAGGCAATAAGTAAAAAGTGTAAAAACTATAAGCCTAAATCAAATTTTGTTGGGGGCATGTGCCCCCATCGATCAAAAGGTGTATCCGCCCCTGGATAGACATTTGGAATGGAGTACTAATCAGAAGTAATATGCGGGGCTTAATCATGCAGACGTCTTAACAATAATCAGTTTGCTGGAAGAATTCCCAGGGAAATTGCTAGTATTTCTACCCTTAAAGTCATGTAAGTGGATCAGAACTTAGTTCATTTTGTTGTTAGTACTTGTATTATGGTTTAAGGAACATCACACCTTAATTTTTCCTTTATACAGGGATGTATCAAGCAACGATCTGTGTGGAACTATTCCAACCACTGGTCCATTTGAGCACATTCCGCTTAACAAGTAACACTCTATCATTTATTCTTTTCATTTTTTTTATGATGTTTCGATTGTATGCTTCAGAACAAATTTCAAATACTCTTCAAAAGTTGTGAAGGGGCTAGAGGGTTAACCTATTTTATTTGTATGGAGTAAAATTGTTACTGTTTGTATTCTTGCTGATATAATTCAGGATCGGGTTGAGGTCATTCAACTAGGCCATATGGCACTTAGACTCTTAGAGGAAACCACACTTAAAGCGTGCATCTAATTTATCAGTTTGTGCAACCGATTGTTTATTAACCCATCGTGCTCCACCCTCCGGTCAAGTTTAAATTTTCTTGTGTTAAGTGATTCCATATCAAACAAATGTAAAAATACTAAGCAACTCATTTGTGGGTTCTTCTTCCTACCTGGCAGATCTTTTAGGAATAATCTCATGCCTTATAATATAGTACTAGAGAGAGCAATTCTTTCCTAGTAAGCATGCACAAAAAGCAATTAGACATATTTCAAGATTGGCCTGTTCTAACAAGTCTCCATATTTTCTTGCTATTTAAAGTGTAATATGGTCTTGTTTTTTGCGCGGTGATTAATTTTTTTCTCTGTTATTGACTTGCAGCTTTGAGAATAATCCTCGGCTGGAAGGCCCCGAGCTGATTGGACTTGTAAGTTATGACACAAATTGCTAGGCGGTCGCACTTTTGTTGACTCATGTAAAAGTAATACTGTTCCGACCTGGAGGGTTACATATAATTTCGTTAGTAAATATGTATATCGCTATACTGCCCTGCGTCCTAATTTCTGAAAAGTACTGTTCCTTGTTGATGTAGGATTTTTATCCAAATTACCAGGATATGTGTGATACTGCTGTACTTTTGCCAAAAGTTAATTATGACAATATATGAGTTCACTGGAATTGATGTTTGGTTTTGCTGATACCACTTCTAAGCCATTTCATTTTATTGCAAGTGCAATCACATTTGGGGTATCATTTACCACTTAACCCCATTATAATTTGGTTAGATCAATGAGACTGTCCCACAGGCAGGGGCGCATTCAAGGGGCAGGGTCACTTGGAGTGGTGCAGTAAGAAATGTATGGCTAAAGGGGTCAATGCTTAAAATTGTAACATATTTTGCGGATCGTAAATATTTTTACATACGTATGTACAGTTTTGGGATGTTCAGACCTCCTCCAGCCATTCTCTTTCTCTACCACTAGTCACATGTATAACGAATACAATACAATAGTTTAGAAGCTGAGGCATTACTATAAGTTGGGTGGTGAAGTGGAAGTTATACAATACTTTCATTTGATATTCTCCCATGTATTGAAAGCATTCAACCAGTATGATATGGCTTTGAATAGCTTTATTTTTTCTCTACTTGAAAGATTTGGACTAGCTTAGAATGGCAGAAAGTTTTATTTTAAAAAGTTAATGGTAAAATGTTTTCTGTGATGAGATCTTCATTACCCAGGCAGTGTCTATTGCTACAACAGTACAAAGTTATGCCCTTCAGCTTGACATCTGACAAACGCAAGGAAAAACATTCACAAATTTGAAGGTTCAACAAGTGACCTGCTTTTTGGTAGTCGTGAATTACAACCTTCTGCTATAAGTTGAGGAAAATTCTTAGGTTACATGATCAGCACAAGAGGCATTGAACCAACAATATATACACGAAACCTGGGACTCTGGGAGGATTCAGAAGGAATCCAACAATTAACTAGAACCTCTTAGCATATTCATTTACGAGTCAATTAATTGCATTATTCTAGAACTTGATATATGGTGGCTTCACATGAAAATCAGAATGGAAACATTATTTTCACGAATCAAAAGCGTACTACTTCAAAAAAGGAGATGTAGGAAATAGAAGTGTGATGTACTCTAATTGAAAATATGGTGTATGACTTTGGTAGAAACAGTGAGAAAATTTGTTCCATACTTGTAGGTGTATATTATCCACGTATTGAGTGATCATCCAATGAAAAATATCCTAAAGTTAAAGTGTCAAGTGGGCACTAAAGTTGATACAATATGATCTCCAATACAGACTCAAGCTATATATTAAAGGGAAGTTCCAATGAGGTCTCTTGAGGTATTATTTATCTATTAAATTCGTGAGAGAGTAGAATAATAGCTATGAAGGTGCAGGCACTCATGGCAGGTCTTGTGGGATCCCGCATGGATCAGGATCCTCTGCCATAAGGCAGAGTGCCTTGCGGCATCCGACGGCAGGGAAGCTACGAGCAGGATCTCGAGATCGGCAAAGGGGTGGAGCCCAAGATCTTCAGCCGTCGAATTTCCCATCTGACGGAGGAAAACAACCAGGCACCCTCCTTGGCTGATTAACTAAGGCAGAGACGTCTGATCCATCCCGCATGACCTTATGTGCATTACACAACACAAAACCCAAAACCTTCAATTGGTGTTCCTTTACAAGTGTTGAGAAATATAACTTTCCGCATGCCATTGATGATATCTTCACGAGTTTCACATCAAACAAGCAATTAACACCCACGAGCTCAAAGAAATTGAGCCCGAGCTTGCTTAACGAGTCGGCTCGTGTTCAGTTCAATTTTGACCGAACTCGAGTCGAGTTTTGATCGAGCGGTTCAGAAGTAGCTCACGAGCGACTTGACTTAGTTCGCACCTCTATCGGTGATTGCTCTTGATCAGTTTTGCTCTATGTGGGGAGGAAAAAGAAGAGTATGTTCTTGCCACTTTCAGAGGAGTGACAGATAAGAGAACGGAGCTATGGATGCCATCACGCCACAATCAAATTGATAAGCCACACAACTCATTTGAACTCAATATAACACATGATATTTTGAAAACAAGCTGCTTTCATTTTCTTGTTAAAAGTTCTGCCCTTTCCTCGCCCCATTTTGGCAACTCTAGAGTATTTTTAATGCTTGGATCAATTTTGAGGTTGATTTGACCAGCCCATGCCACTAAGTGAAGCAAGGCTCCTTATCATCTCCTTTGGATGTGGTTAAGGTCTCACTCCATTTAAATTTCTCTCTTTCAAACTCTTCTTGTTCTCTTGTTTTTTTTTTACTTTGTTGACTTTTGTCTTTTCTTCTCTTTTTACTTCCTTTTCTTTTCTAACTAAAAATAAAACTATGCGTCCATATTTTTTAGTTTTTACCAAACACGTAACTTTTGATTTCACGCATTAATTATGTCATAATAAGAAAAAGTATGATTGAAATTACTTTTCTGGCTGTATTGGCTGAAATTACTGTAGAGATCGGCTTATCTATTACTCATATAATTTTTTCCTTCTTTTATTAATGAAATATATTTTAAAAAGTATAATTTTTTTCATAAACTAGTTGAATCAATTAATCCAGCCACTTCAGTTACAATTTCATAAATTTCGGCAGAATCAATCGATTCAACCAATTTCATTATTAAAAAACGGGGTTCAAAAAGTAGGAAATACAACAAAATTTAAATGAAATAGTAGAAAAAGTATGAAAGAGAATTTGAAAAAACAAGGTAAAACTAACAAACATGATCATAACGTTATGCGATCACGTAACGTAGCATATTGCAAATAAAAAATTGTGTATTAACAAAAATAAGTAAAATTGAAGTTTTTTTTGGAGGTAAAATTGAAGTTTCTTTTCTAAACGAATTGACCAAATTCCCTAAAGAGAGTTATTTCAGCTGTTTTTCATACAAATTTTTCTTTATTTTGTTAACAAAATACGGAGTATGTTTAGATATACATATTTCATAATTCAGCAGATTCAGGCAATTTGGCAGGTCTTGTCATAATTTAATCAATTTCAGTCAGTTGTGTCAATTTCAGCGTTATCAAGCAAACTCTATAAGATAATTAATTACAGCATCTCCAATGCTTTTATGTGCACGGTGCACATGCGGTATGAGAGGTAGCCACATAAATATTAGCAAATAAACTATCTTTCTCCTTATTTGAATGATTTTGTACAATTTTGGTAAGTTTTTCTTTGTAATGTCAACCACAATGTCAACATCTAGACGGTCTGATTATTTGTAATGTGGTCTATTGTTTTGTACTGGATAATTTGTCGGCAAACAAATTAAATGTGCTGTAGCTCCAAATATATTATTAGGCATTATTGGAAATAAATAAATATAGAATATGGAATACCACCAACTGCATACCTAAATTATGATTGGTAATTTGTTACGAGTCCATGCTAAACATGCCTTATTGTCGGACGAAATTTCCGAGCCTTCTTTGTTTTTGACTAAAAAACATATTTAACAGTTTGTATTACCCGAATCAATTCCAATCATTTCCCAAATCGCATAATACATGCACCGGACAAAGTCAGCATGCACAAAGTACAATACACTAAAACGAAGATACCCTTATCCGCGAGGATCCCTAAAAACTGGCCACGCCATTTCTCTGGATAAGTAAAGCTAGGATTGGTCATATTTGGTTAAAGGCACGAATTTTGTCAAAAATATTAGTAAGAAAAGAGTGGAAGATATATAAAAAAGATTTTTTTTTTCAGTTTTCGAAAATGAGAGTAAAAAGAGGGTGAGAGACTATTACACATTTACACTCTTATTTATTTAATTTCACCTTCTTGGTGCGCGCTAGAGTACTGTCAGTGACAAAAAATCCGTCAGTGACTACCAAAATGCCGCCACCGCTATCACCGGTCACAATGACCTCCGGCCACTCTGGTCACAATGACCAACACCCCGACATCACAATGACCAATTTTCCCTCGGTGACCACTGAGCAAAATAGTGACCACCATTCATTAAGCTCACTTATGTATGAGTTTCTTTGATGATACTTTTCACTACTTGTTTCTTGTTACTGTTGTTGTTAATAATAATATACAAATAGTGTTAATAATAATGATAATATTGAAAGGTAAATACTATGGAAAAACTAGATCTATAATAATAACATACGAATAACAACAACAATAGTGTGTGATAATGTTATTGTTATTTTAAATATTGATAGCAAGAACCTATGATTTTGTATTTGTATACACATAACAATGATGATGATGATGCCGGTGATGATGAAAATAAATAGTACAATCCTGGCATCAATAATAATAATATCTAAAATGATGATAATAATAGTAATAATAATATTGATGATGATAATGACGATGACAACAACAACAACAATATCAAGTAACAACAACAGTAATAAAATAATAATAATAATAATAATAATAATAATAATAATAATTCATGTCTAAGCTTTTCTAATCTAAATCTGAGTGTTTCTTGCCTGATCTGAATGTTTTAATTTGATATGATACGATCTGAGCTAGATCTTTGTGATTCAACCTCAATTTTCCCATTTGATTAGATTTGATTTTTTATCAGATCTAAATAAAATAGGAATAAGTAATAAGCAGTAGATATATAATGAGGAAAATAGCTTCTTAGTTCATATCAAGTTATTTACGAATCTCAGAGATGGTGTACCGGCCTTAGGGTTATGGTGGGTTGAATCCACTAATCGTGTTACCGGTGACTAAGTGAATATGTATGAATTGGTGGCTTAAGAAAATCGGGTTGAATACACGGCACATCAGGTCCATTCTGTTCGAGTTAGGGGTGCCCATTCGTACGCCGATTCAGATGCTACGTGATAATGTGTCAACTTCTTACTTATCTACTAATCCTATTCAACATGCACGCAACAAACATATCAGCATCGATTATCACTTTGTTCGAGAGCGAGTTTCTCATGGAGATTTTGTTGTTCGCTATGTTCCTACGCAGTTTCAAATTGTAAATATTTTCACCAAGTGCCTGTCTCCTCAGCGGTTTATTTTTCTTAGTGTATTAATTAGATTAATTAGCTTTCCATATTTTATTAGTTTCCTATTGTAATCAGGATACTCCTTTTATTATATAAAGTTATACACCGCGTTCCAGTGACGATTTATCTTGAACTTTTTTTTCAATTTATGGTTTATTTTTTATTATTTTCACATTTAGCTTACTCCGCTCATGTTTAAGCCTATATAATAACTCATTAGTTAAGGATGTTTTTACTTGGACTATAATTTGCTGGTCTGGTCTGGTCTGATCTAGTCTGGTCTGGTCTGGTCTGGTCTAGTCTGACTTGGTCTGGTCTGATCTGATTTCTTTGTATTTTTATAACTATCCAAGTCTGGTCTGATCTGGTCTGAACTGGTCTGGTCTGGTCTGGGACGAATTACAATCCAAGTAAAAATATCCTAAGTCTTACTCATATTCTTGGATCTTCTCCTGCTCAGATCAATCCAAAGTCTCACACCTCAACGTTTATCTGACTCATTAGTATTTGATTTATATTTTCCTCTTGTGGTATGTGGATTTTGTTATATGATCTTATTTAAACAAGAATAACAAATAACACATAGCAAAAGAAAAAATATTCTAAAACCATAAATTAAATTAATGAAGTAAAATGTAGTGGGTACTGGTAGTAGCGCAGAAGGTGTGGTTATCACTTATGGAACGTGTGGCTTGGGGGGGTTGGATTGAAAGCCGATATTATTCCTTATAGTAAATGGACGAGTCAAACAAAGTTAAATGTTGTTGAATTTCTGCGATATTGTCCCGTTCCTTTTATGCGCGCATTTGTCAACAAAGTCTGCTTTCTTCTGTTGGTTTTCCCCTTCTAAAATCCACGCATATAGCTGTTGGGTTGATTTCAACCACTTTAATATCCATTCAAACAAATATTTTTTGTTTAAAGGTACTATTTATTGTACATTGATAGAAATTTTCCAATATTTTTTGTATTAGTAGATGATTGATTTGATTAAGGGGGTGTTTGCTTAGGAGTCTATCGGCCATTTTTTGGCTGATTTGAGTTTTTGACCAGATGAATCAGCTATTAGGAGTGTTTGGTTAATGACTTTTTCACTTGATATTTTGTCCCAAACAATCAAAAATAGAAAAACCAATAAATATGACGTTTAGGTTTTGGCTTTTCAATATTTGTCATTACATTCCTATTTTACCCAGGCGTCCCTTTCTCTTCCTACTACAAAAAAAATTACGAGATTGATAAGGAATTCAGCACGAATTTACCGATTTTTCGTGCCAAAATCTCTGCCAATCTCATGTTTTTTTGTAGTGTCCGATAATTTCCCATGGGAGAATGTGTTTAGTAGTATACTATGTATGTATTACTCGTTAGATCGCATCATCCTTATCAATCGTGGAGGAAGACCTTACTTAGACGCATTAAAGCGTAATGTTATTGGAACGACGACCTATCTTTCAATTTCATTCATTCTTCCTTCTTGTATAATTGCAACACTCAATTATACAAGAAATTCATTCTTGCATGAGATTCATTTCTTCATAAACTGAAGCATGTGCTTTCACTTTGAGGGTTCACGTCTAAACGTCATCGAAAAGAAGGCGACGTGGATGTATAAAAAAGTGACATACATCACCTTTTTGTGACAAAGTTTAGACGAGAACTCTCAAAGGGAAAGCACATGCTTCACTTTGTGAAAAAATAAACTTCATACCTAAAATCTGCATTAAATTTGTCGGAATTTTGTCCGGAAGGACGAGGGGTGGTGAAGGGATAATGGTCACGGACTAAATGTGGACAATTTGAAAGTAAGAGACTAAATGTGAAAGTGGTATAATAGTCACGGGATTAAAAGTGGAAATATTTTAATTTGACGGAAAAGTAGAAAAATTGAAGAAAAGAAAAAAAGAAGAAAGAAAGAAAAAAGGAATAACGATGCTTGCTCCAGGAGGAAAGAAAAAAAAAAGAAAAAATATGAGTTGTCTAAAGTGGGATCGGGACACCATGAAGAAGGTGGGCCGATCCCACCGTATAATTCGCCTATTTTAACTATTTAAGAACAATACGGAGTATATGTCCGCACCTTTATTTTACACAAATAACACGAAAGGTGTAACAGCGGCGCAAAAGCCTCATTTTGCCTTTGAGTTCACGGGAATTCGGTGACTTTTATTTGAGTTCATTATAATATTATTTGTATAATAATTGTATTATTGGCACTAAAATATTAAAGCTATCTAACACTCAATTCAACAGAGTTAAAAGACATAATAATAATTGACTTTAAAAGTCTTCAATACAGTTCGTTGCTGAATGCGGAGTATATAGGTTGCATTGGTCCGTTTATTCTCATTTATTCACTATTAATCTAACCTAGTCCAATAAATAGTCTATTGAAATGTGTATACGCTTCACAATTTTTTTCAATTTTTGTAAAGATTGTACTTTATTTCTCTACTGAAGTAAATTTTCTTTAATATACACATGTGTTACGAGTATTTAATTATTTAGAAAGAGCGAAATTACGCGGCACTCCCTCTCTAACAAAAAAATCTTTCCACTTTTCTTTTCCAACCATACCTAAATAATCTCTAAATCTTACAAGCACAACAAATAAGAGCAAATATCACCAACTTTATGAATAAATATGAGAAATCGTATTAAAGATATGAAAACCATTGCATAATTTTCCCCTAAAAGTAGGTGAAAATATCATGTAAAAAGGACCTGGAGCTTTAATTTGAAAGAGCTACCAAACATTTAAAAGTATGAAAGAGCTAGCACATTGAATCCCGAATTGGTAAAAATTTAATAGCTAATACTTTTAAATTTCCATCTCAGTTGACTAATTTTATATGTATCTCATCAACATCTATATTCAGTTCAAGCATAAAAAATCAATAAGACTTAGAACATTGCATTTAAATTACAATGCGGCGTTATACTCCAAAAATTTGAGTCGAAATTTGATTTTTTTTATAGATTTAACAATTATAGTTTAAACATGTAAATGCGTTATACATTGCATTTACACTACATGTATTAGAACAATTTACACTTCATGAAAAACATGCTCAAAAAATAAGATAAAAATTCCTTCGGGAAGCACATCAAACTGGTTTGGTCGCAGGAGCCTCCTGTTCAATCTGGACTGAGCTGAACGGACTCTACAAATAAATCAGGTATTTACCAACAACATAGTGATGGAGATGGAAGAGAAATACGACTCACATGTTATTTTCCTTTTCTTTTTCTGTACATTGTACGTGCACACACGTGCACTCATATTTAGACATCATTTCCTTTAATCAACTACATTACGAGTATTTAAAAAACTACTACGTGCATTACTTAACAACATATTTTCAACATATTCACAAATTTTGAGAAATTGTTCGATATAGGAGTAAACATAAACATAATTGCACAAATAGGAGTAAAACTTAAAACTTCCTTCAATAGGAGTAAACATTAATTTTGTACCCTTAATATCCCTAACCTAGTTCATTCTAAAAATATGACTTATTTGTACCTATTTAAAAAAAACTAAGTTCATTCAAGGGAAACGATACCTTTATGCATGCCATTTAATTTTAAAAATAATCTAAGTTCATCCCAACAATATTAAAATATTAAAAATTAAAATATATATTTTTGTAAAAATAAAATACTTTAAAAATAAATAAAAAATAGATAAACTGTATTAAAAAATATAAAAAAATTATGCCGGCCTTTCCCGCAGCCTCGGTCATCACCCAGCAATGCCATTTTATGTAAAAACTGCCATTTTTCGTTGAAAATGTCATAAAGATGACAGTTTTACTCTTTGAAAATGCCAAATTTTCTCAAAACCTGCCATCTTGATGGCATTTCGGGAAAATATTGGCATTTTTTTCGGTGGTCGGAGCTGGTGGTGTTGGGAGATTGTTGAGGCGGCGACAGACACCTACATTTTTTTATATATTTTTTCATTTTTTATTTCATTTTTATATTTTTTTATTTTTTTATTTTTTTATTTTAATAATTTTTTTATTTTATTTAATATCAGAGTATATTTTATTTGATGTTTTTTTGTGTTTTTTTTGTTTTTTACAATGTTTTTGGAGTTTTTTACAATTTTATTATAAATTAATTAATCGTTCGAAGTATTTATTTTATGTTTTAATTATTAATGAAAGTTGTTGGGTCTTGGGTAGGGGTATATACTTGTCCAAACACTAAAGTTACTCCAATTCAAAACATTGTACTCCTATTTTTGTATTTTGTCTATGTTTTAATCCTATTTTGAGAAATCTCTCATAAATCTTCTCTAAATGATTTCAAGTGGATTTGTTTCAATTTCATATCCAATTTAACCTTGTTTAAGCTCATTGTAATCTGGAACATTATTTGGCATAGAGCAATACTAGCCCATAAAACTTGCTAACCAAAAGAGTTGGAGTGGTCAAATTTGCTTAAATGAGAAATAATAGGGGAAGCAAATGCATTCCTCCACATCTTACAAATGGATTTTCTTCTCAAATCCAACTCTAATACATACAATATCTTACAAATGTAAAACTACAACTCCCCATCTATAAGGGTTCACTACAACCAACAGAACAGTTACCTTAGAAAATGAAAAATTGAACTTTGATCATATATCGATGAAAATAGAGTAATGTTTCATCTCAAGTCCATTGTTTGAAGTTGAAACCGAAGTCCTGAATTAATCCAATTTCCATAACTTGTGTATCTTTTGGTCAACTAACAAGACAAAATTAACAAACAAGGGTCAATCAGGCGGTGGCTCCCAATCCTAGGAAATCATAGAAACGGACTTTATTGTACATAGGATTGCCTTGATCTGATGATGTCTTCTTCCTACTATTGTCCACTGACTCTGACGCAGAAACCTGTGATGAGTTTGATGAATCTGATTGACCACCCAACCCTACCGATCTTTCCTTCACACCCTCCACCCTTAACCATGATGATGACCCTATAACCAAAATTAACCCAAATGATAATTGTGGACGACCAAGAAAATGGATTTTACCATAGCCCTTTTGACCGTTGTAAGACAATGGAAATTCGGACGATAAAGAAAGTGACAGTAATGATCATTTACAAAAGCCATACAAAATACAAACGTGCACAATCCCGGCCATTTTTCAACACAATCATATCCTTTTCACATTAATGGTCACCCATATCATTGATCCAAAAAAAAGTGGAATCTCACACTCCAGGAGCCCCCACCCGACTCGACAGGATGGTGGGGAGGTTAGTCATGGTGGCTCAGTCACCAGAATCCCACCCGACCCGACAAGATGGTGGGGAGGTTAGTCATGGTGGCTCAGTCACCAGAATGGTAGTAGACTCATACACCCGTGTGCACCAGAGACCCAACCTTATTTCAGGTTCTGTGACTTCCACCCGGTCGCTGCAGGGATTCGAACTTTGGTCCATTGATCCAAATCTTCCACCACTCGATCAACTGAGCTACCCGTACGGGTATGGTCATCCATATCATTGTGCCTAGCCTCTTCAAGTTTTTTTGAACCATTTTGTAAATCTTTATTGTTTTTATTGTGTTTTAGAGGAATTGTTTTTTGGAGTAATCTGATTTTTCTGATGTGCTTGAAAATTATGGATTACTACGATCCAAGTTTCTTATACTCCGTATTTTCGTAGAACCAACCATCTGTAATGTTTATCCAAATTTAATTTTATGTTGTTTAGTCTGTAATAAAGTGAAAATTTTATGATTGAAATGGATTTTTATGAAATAGAAGCACTGAAATAATAAAAAAGACAAGAGTGAACTTGATTAAGGGCAAGACAAAGAATATACTCCCTCCGTTCCATAAAAGTTGCAACATTAGAATTTCTGCACCATTTAGACACCTTACTTTGACTATGATTTTCTAATAATATATATAATAAAAATATTACGTATAAAATATTAATAAATTTGTATTAATTTAAATTTCCAATATATTAACTTTTTTTAATGTTTACTAATACGTAAATAAATATATTTACGGTTAAAGTTGCGCGTTGTCAAACGTGAAAGTCAAACCGTTCAACTTTTATGGAACCGTAGGATAGTGGGACGGGTCAAATGCATAAATAGTAGCTTAACTATTGGTAATGTTGTATTTTGGTACCTTAACTTTTAAATTAATCAAAACGGTACCTTAACTATACACAAATGTTTCAGATTGAGAATTTATTCAAATTTCTGACCAAAAAATCACGCGTGGCGGCAGAATTCTATGTGTAAATAAAGTCTACTTCACCTTAGTTTTGTTCACATGATCACCATAGGGTGACTCTACACATGCAATTTTGAATGATATGAATGATTTTTTGATCGGAAGTTTGAATAAAATCTCAAATTGAAACATTTATGTATATTTAAGGTACCGTTTTGATTCATTTAATAGTTAAGACACCAAATTGTAACATTACTCATATTTAAGGTACCATTTATACATAAAAAAGACATAAAAACACAGTGTACTTTCAAGGAGGGTACTCTTTTTTTAATTTTTAAAAGTTTTGATCACATAATCAGGTGACAGAATGGCATAACCAGGATCAGATCTCTGTATTGGGGTTTAGAAACCTAAAACCAGATTTAAGATTGTTTTTTTTTTCCAGAAAAGTACAGAAGTAAAAAATTTGTCGATGGGCCGGAAATACCTTTAACGGTTCTGACGATTTGAAAGTCCGGCAGAGGTCTAGGATAAAGAGAAAACGAAGCTGCAGGGAGGCAGAGATCAGTGCAGGTCGACGCCGTTTCGTCTGCGGCGGCGAATGCGTAGCTCTCAGTATCATCAGCCGTGGATTCGTCTCCCGCCGCAGCATTTAAACGGACGTCGTTTGATCGCTTCCTCCTCTTACAACCGCTGTTACTAGTACTGGCTCTGCTTTCGCCGGAAACAGGGGAACTAAACTGCGGCGGCGGCTGGCGGCGGTGGTCCCGGGCGACGAGGACGTGCCAGTGGTTCTTAACGGCGTTATCCGTCCGGCCGGGGAAGAGGCGGGAAATCATGGCCCATTTGTTGCCGTACATTTTATGCGCCTCGATCAGCATTTCTTCTTCCTCCTCTGTAAACGCTCTCTTATTCAGCTTCGGATCTAACTGGTTAAACCACCTCAGTCTGCAACTCTTCCCTGTTTTGGTTTCACAAAATCAATACAAAACCAAACCAAGCAAAAAAGTAAATAAAAATCAAACAATCCCCTATGTTGCAGGGAAACGTAATAATCCCGGGAATACTGAAACAAGGGAGATTTCTAAAGAGTTTCCGTTAAGTTTTTGAAACGGAAACGTAATCTTTCTCGAGAGTTTCCTGCTTCATAAGCCAATAAGCAATCCCTGTGTTGCAGAGCAACCTAGAAATTCCGGGAAAACGAAATAAACATATTCTTTCACGAGAATTTCCGTGCTACATTAGCGCCCCCGGTTCAACTACTACCTGATCGTCCGTGAAGATGCTGGGCAATGAAATTCCAGTTGTGAGGGCCGTGAAGTGCTACGAGCTCCTTGAGCTTGGCATCTTCGTGGGGCTTCCAATGGCTTCTGGTACAGAAACCGGGGTGGTTTCCTCCGGCCGCCGCCGTGCCGTCAGGAAAAGAAGGATTAGCATCGGTTTTAGGGCGGGGTTGGGAAATGAGTTGGAGTAGGTGAGTGGGAGGAGGATGAAAATAGTCAATATTCATATTTTGTGAATCTAATCTATAACCCAAAAAATGGACCCCAAAGTTTTGGTGAGTTTTAGGAGGAAATAGAGTGGATGGGAAGCATTTCTTTTCCTTTTATATACAAAAAGTAGTCCGTACTATAAATAATACCGAGTATATAAATTTTTTACATTTTAACGTAGTCCTGCCCAATAAGTACAACGTTAAAGTGAGGGAAATGTTAAAAGATGAGTAGGTTTTTTTAAGATTCGAATTGCTTTTTTGGTTTTTTCCATTCGAATCCGCCCGGGAAAAATCCATATTCCAAAAATGAGTCCTTTTAGTTTCTTTTTTGATTTTTTAAATTATACGTAGTATATGACACATTGAACATTTTTTTGCAAACCTGGTGTTAGAACCGTTAAGACCTGGGGTTCCATACTAAAAGGTAAACCTGAGAGGGGGAATAGTCCATGTCTTAATATAGCACTTCGTTGACTCAAACATTTCCAGTGTGAGATTTAACACCCCTCCTCACGACCAGACTCTTCGTTTGGATCGTGGCGTCATTCATTTTTTTCGTCAATTCGTCATTGTCATTTTTTATAATTGTGTCAATCATTTTTCATAAGGGGCCCACAACATGGATCGATTTGGCTCTCATACCATGTTAAGACCCGGAGTTACATCCTAAGAGGTCAACCTGATAGGAGGAGGAGCTCATGTCTTAATATAGCACTTCGTTGACTCAAACATTTCCGATGTGGGATTTAACATGAACCAAAACCCGGGAGTTTTGGGGTCAGGGTCAAGGAACACCTCACTTATTTATTTAATTGAAAAAATACAAGGAGTAGAAGGGCTAGACCAAAGCCTACTCCGGAAATTAAACAACATAAGGATAACTTATAGCGTCAAATTTTAGGATGTCAACAAATTGACTAAAGTGATGAGTTTTGGTTTTAATCGATGTGCTATGATAAGCCAAGTATTATGTTGCCCTGTTGAACTAAAGTTTGACAGTGGTTATGGTCCAATTAAGATATCTGAATTTAGCTTTTATTATACTGATGCATGACGAAAATTTCTAATGTTGAAGATTATGCCTAGTGATTCCATCATACACATCTTGGTTTTCCACCTCAAACACCACATTAATTAGGTTTAGATTCTGCAAATGAGGAATAATATTAATAATAGCATCATATAAGGCCATACTACTACTAATACTCCTGTCAATCTGAGTGTGGTGGGCAATATAATTTCCCTCCTAGTTCCGTAGGAGAGCAGCAACACAACCTAAAGTGTTGGTAATGGACCTGTATGCAAAATTAATTTTGTTGGAGTTACGAGAAGGCTTGACTCAATAATTGAGAGTAGATCTATTAATATTCTTGGGGGGTTGGTGTGGACAACAAAAAGGGGGTTATGACATATATTGAACAAAATATCCTTTCATGACACATATTTAAACCTCCATTTTTTAATTTCATATGTTAATTTTTTATGGAAATTCATGTCGATTTTTAGCAGCGTAAAAATACTTTCTGGTAAATCACTTATATATGTCAAACACCATTATCTGGTACTCTATCATTTATGTCACTCAGTGAGCAACTGAATTTCCCCTCCTTTATACATGTGAAAAGTCAACGACATCAAATCAATTGAGAGCAAAAATGAAAAATATCATCCAAGAAAATTCCTAATGGAGTATCATCTTCCTTTCTTGGGGAAGCTGCCTTAATGAACTTAATGCATCACTTTCAAGTACAATTTTCCTTGGTCCAGTCTGGTGCATTCTCTGTAGTGCATATGCCGCTGGTGCATATTGTGTAATCTCCGCCTCCCAATTCACACCCAAATTTTCGACTCCTGCCATCACTAGTGTGTCGAGTTCATCTTTTGAAAATAGCTGAATCGTAGTTCACTTTCATACAACACTTTGTTGTTTATCAAATTAATAATCTCTTTTGTATACTTACATGGACTCTCATCAGTCTCATGTACTCTGAAAATAGTCTCATTTGCTTTTTATTAGCATTGTGACATCCTCAGTTATCACTCTTATTCCCAATCAAATTCCAGAAATATCATGTGAGTCATGAGCCAGGGGTAATTGGCTTTTCTATAGCCCTTTCAAATAAATTACAGCTCACATTTAGTTAGTGATAATTATTTCTCCGCTATTAACGATAAAATTGATGAGGGTAAAGTTCTTAAGCAAATATGAATCTCTCGATTTTGTCCTTATTCCTAAGGAGAGGCTGAGAACCACCAACTTAGAAGTAATTGCATGAATAGATGTAACATATAACTATAATACCAAAACTCAATCCACTAAATTGGATATGATTTAAGCATATGTTGTGGATTTTGCTCAAGCAGCTTTCGATAAAGAGATTATATTTTTGTACCTCAAAATCTTGTTCAAAGGTACACAAATAAAGATAATATCTCCTAAGTATAATATCACCACCATGCATGTTTTTGAAAATTTGAGTTATGATTAATAATTTTCAAGTTCATTAGTTGGATATATATTTATTTACATTAATGAAAAAATACATTATTACCTTAATGGTAAACCAGAAGAAATAAATGAAAGTTCGACCGGAAGTCATGTGGTTGAATAATTTCTTAAGCATTTTTGCACCCTTGGATCATCATAGACTTCATAAAAAAATTAGGAGCTAATGAATTTAATTTTCAAATTCCTCCCGGATGTTTTTCTAAAACACACCATAATGAATGGAAAAAATGTAGAACTCTTCACTTATCCAAATGGCGATGGTAGCCAACATATGTGGAGATGGCAAATGGCGATGGTTGTGCCGAGTAGCGTAGTGATTGAGGTGAGCGGGGTGAGGAAGTATGGTACATGAAAGATGGTCATTGACCACCTAGTGAGTATTGGTCTGTCTAAACATGATAGAGGGTGCACATATGAAGAGATGTAGGATGAGGGTGCACATTATCGTTCCTCGCTCGTGGATCTTCATAAAACCGATTTGGGCTACTTGTTGATAAATGCTTAGCTAGGCGGGATCTACGATGAAAGTATCTTTTGATAACTATAAGGAAAGATCAAAATGCCTTGTCAGTTTGTTGTTCAGTGAAAGAACAACATATGAAGGGTAGTAGTTCCTGGGTGTACATTGTAGTCCTCGTTCATGGATATGTAACCGAGACGGATTTCCCCCATCGTCCACTCCTTTAGCTCGAGTGTGCCCTCATCTGGGTGAGTAATCTTCTGATATAGCCGAGGTGCCCTTTTGATAACTTGGTCAATGATATAGTCTCTTTGGTGATCCCTGACTGAGGCAATTATATGGGAGAAAACCTCTGTCAAAGGTTGTGGGCATGAGACCGTTACAATTAGCCTTGGTGATCAAGGGCATTCTCTGGTGCATCCTTGATCTCTGACGTGGCTTGCTCCAAGATTTTGATGGATGCGACCGACAACGTGCTGTGCTGCCAGATGTTGCGTGTTGTGAATCACAGGTGGTAAGAGAACATGTGGACATCACGCTTTGATTGAATTGAGGGTGACACATGTTTAACGTGTATCCTAACTATTGGCTTCGTATAATAATGACTATGTAGGGTAACTTAATAGTACGATCACAAGGTAACCATGTTTGGCGTTTATATTTACCCTTGGTTCGGGTCATTTCCTCCTTACACTTTTTGTGAAGTGAGATGAGGTGCTACCCAAAAAATACTTATAGCTCTTTTGTTCACGTTGTTCTTGCATACTCGAGGTCAATGTTCTTCTGCATTTCATATTTTATCATCTTCTGCTTCGTCTCCATGTAGATTAGTTGTTATTCTAGGTAGTTTAAAAATCACTTTTATCCTTCAAACCTTCATCATCCCCAACTCATGCCTTTTTAAGATGTCACCTTCATCTTGTGAATCTCATTAGTCAAGAAATCTCTCATTTTCACAAGTGGAGGTCCGTTCAGCCTCCACTTCCTCTATGTTTGCGCACATGGTGTGTCAAAAATCGGGTGATCAGACGTCGATTGTGCGCGCCCCCAACCTTCAGCCCAAGGTGCAGATGAGGAAAACTTTAAAATAAAAAATAAAAAATAAGCAAAATAAAAAATAAAAATCAGAAAAAATGAAAAACAAGTGAAGGTGTAATAAATATATAATTAAAATGTAATAACTTTTAAAAACATGTAGAATATAATTAATTCAAAAAATGCAAAACTTTAGACTTTGACATTCTTAAAACATCCACAACTTTTATTGATATTTCTTTAAATTTCAACATATTTTTAGAATATTTTGATTTAAAAAACTGTTATTAGAGGTAAAAATGTGGGAATATGAATTTGACCTTTTTCCAAAAACAAAAATCCGTCAGGACTCAGTGAGTCGGGTGGATTATGGAGCTAGGGGCAAATCGACAGTGTGTCCATTATATTGGGAATGGATATGGAAGACGTATTTATGCAAAAAAGAAGACTTATTTATGCAAAAAAAATACTTATTTATAAAAATTGGGATAGGACATGGACAAAGTTCAACGGTTGCCGGACCCAATCCTTCTTCCGTCGCCCCCAGGTTCCTGTTCTTGCCGTCTGAATCGGGATTCCTCGATCTAGTGGTGTTGCTGCCATTCTAGCTCTGCGTCGTTGAATTTTCCGGGCACAAGTGACGGATTTTGAATTTTCATTTTGGGTGCTCAATTTTTTTTTACAATTAAGAATTTAAAGAACACTAAATTATTACGTTAAATTCGCTCATATATACCTACATACTTTTCAAATTTTTGAGTGTTCATGTGAACACTTTTGAAGAATGGTGGCTCCGCTTGTGCAGCTGCCTTACCCCCACTTCACGCTTGAAGTTCCAAGATGAAGGGGAAGGGAGAGACTTTGAGAGAAAAGGGCCTGGTTGAAAGAAATAAGAAAGAAAAAAAGAAAGAAAGAAATAAGAAAAAAGAAAGAAAGAAAGAAACAAAGAAAGAAAAGAAATAATAACCATTAATAACCACTTAGGATGTTTTTACTTGGACTGTAATTCCTCCCAGACCAGACCAGATCAGACCAGACCAGATCAGACCAGACCAGACCAGACTTAGATAGTTATAAAAATACAAAGAAACCAGACCAGACCAGACCAGACCAGATCAGACCAGACCAGACCAGACCAGACCAGACCAGACTAGCAAATTACAGTCCAAGTAAAAACATCCTTAGACCGGTCGGTCATAGGCTATCTGAGAGCGTTAAGTGTATGATTTAAAATTTTGAACGTTTTTGTAATCTTTAAGGGTCTGGTCTGGTTGAGTTTTTTTTTAGTTCAAGGACTTAATTCATTTTTTGATACACGCATATTTAATAGTTTCTATACTGTTTTAATTTACATATATATACTGTATAGTAGTAACATTTTCTCTTGATCACATTGTGTCAAGTAGTAATGTTTTATTTTGAATACAACGTATTTGTCAAACTTATTATAATCTTACACGATTATAAGCATTAGTATTAATGGATGCATGTATGTACACATGCAATAAATTTTTATGCATAACCTGAATTTGATTATGCCGCGGTACCGTATGTGATAATTGCATTATTAACGGCTAAATTCATATAACTTCTCATCAAATGAATAAATTGACCAAATTTCTTATTTTTATATTTTATATATGTAAGAAGTAAAGAAACCAAATAGCAAAATATGATCCTTGAGAGAGGCTTCTTATATATAAAGAAGTCGATCTGAATTGAAGAATCAAGGTTGAAATGGGGATGCTGGACTGCATCAACTGTAATCTCTTAGGATTGAAATACCATAAGAAGATGAAACCCCATTTCATCATGTGGCTTACCCTACTTGTTGGAATTGGAGCTAATTTATTCACCTCATCTCAAGGTTAATCTTATTTTTCTGTAATTAATCAATTAATTTAATGGTATAATAATAATCTACATGTAGACTAACAATCAAATACTCTTCTACATGCATCTTACTCCAACGACATAATTATTCTCTAGTGTTACTCATCAATGTTTAATCCTATTTTCATTGTTTAATTAGGAGTCCGTTTGGTAGCACGAAAATCGGCTGTTTTGGCTGATTCTGTTGAAATTTATGAAGTTCTGGCTGAAGTGACTGCATAGGCTGATTCTGCTGATACAAGGAAAAAATTATTTTTAAAATATATTTTATTAATAAAATAAAGAAAAAATTATATGTAAAAATAGCTAAAATGATCATCTACAGTAACTTCAGCCAATACAGCTAGAAAAGTAACTCCAAGCTTACTTTTTCGGCTTATTACACAATTCAGCGCGCGAAAACAAAATTTACGTTTTTGGTAAAAAAGTTGGCTGATAAATCTGATAAGCCGAAAATGAGGGTTGCCAAACGGTCTCTGGATGTCCTGTGAAATCACTCAAATCAGACCTATCTCTCCATTATACACTAAAGAGAAAAAAAATCAATTTTGTAATTCAAATTTTAACTATGCTAAAATATCCGCCATTGCATGAGAATTGAGACCATCCCCATTCACTGCAAAAGCCTCATTTTAGTATATTGGAAAAATGATAATTTTTTGTACGAACTATATTTGGTTAGACAAAAACAATATAAAACTCAGTTTAAATTTTTAATTCTGAACATTATATTTTTCTTGTTACTGATTTTATTAATTTGTTATTGTTTTTTTGGAATGCAGGAGTCTCAAACTATGATTACTCAGCTCCCATAGAAGTAACAAAAAATGACACACCATATCATCCATTGCATATTTGCATATTTTAGAGGAATGTTTTTTGAGAATTTTTTTTAAATAAAACTAAAACATACATAAAGTGCACAAATAGAATTAATTATCACTGTTTTCTACCTAAAATATGAGTCATTTACTCCTAATATATAACTACACATCTGTGCACATTATCCATATTTTGGTCATATTTGGAGTAATTTCTTAATTCTTTAAGTATGAGTCAAACATGTCAAGTAACGTATGGTCTGATCACATCATTGTGACACTCAGCTCACATGATCAAATCTCATTACATTCAAGCAAGTTGACCTTAACATAGAACAAATATTATAATATGTTAGAAAATCTTACAAAAAAAGCACGAGTCAAACATGAAAAAAATCAAATACAATTAATTTCTTTTAAAGTATGACTCATTCGTAGCTAAAAGATAAAGATCTATTGTTTTATGAGCCCTAGCTACAAGTAATTGTTTTATTCTTTAATTTTATTAAAAATTATGATCCCTACTTGGCTACTTCGAGAACTAAACATATCAGTCTTATTATTTTTCAATTTATTCCTGTTTGTTACTTATATATACTGGATAATTTGTAATATTATATCACACATGTTTTTAATAAAAAATAGTCCTCTAATTGGGGCAATGTATGCTTGAATTATATATTAATTAGTCCTACATAAAGCTGAAATTTTTTGTGAACAGTGCAAGCATCAACCTGATAGGCCACTATATGGGGGAGGGCTTCTCAAGGATCAAGAGCCTCAGTATCAATGGGTCAGAAATGTGTGGGGATATAGGGTTTATGTCCCTACTTATATACTGCCCGAACTCATACCGGGCACTTATTATGCCTTTTCCAGTTAAGATATGAATAACCCCTCTAATCTCGCAATGACCCATATACAGTGAGCACCGTATATCGATCTTTATTTTTGGAAAACAGCGTATACGGTATTTTTGACTTCTTTATTTTTTATTCCTTTTGTTGTTAAAAATTGTAATAACTTTTTTATTTCATATTCCATTTTTATAAATTTTATATTAGTTTTGTTATTTTTCATGATCTATCAAATGAGATCAATATTGCTTATGTAATTTTAACAAATTATCGAACTATTATATAAATGGTTATTGGATTATAAGAGGAACCGAACTAAATTTAATACAGAAAAATAATTGTGTAAATCACAATTTATCTTAAAATTGTGTATATAAAAAATTTATTGAATTATGTATTTATACATGTGAGTTACATACTTTTATACGTAAAGTTACATATTTGTACACGTAAAGTTACATATTTATACACACGAGTTGCATTTGGCCTGCCTGAACGCTAGTTACATATTTTTACACGTAAAGTTACATATTTTTACACGTAAAGTTACATATTTATACACGCGAGTTACATATTTATACACACGAGTTGTATTTGACCTGTCTAAACGCGAGTTACATATTTTTACATGTAAAGTTACATATTTTTACACGTAGAGTTACATATTTATACACACGAGTTGCATTTGGCCTAACTGGACGTGAGTTACATTTTTCTACACGTAAAATTACATATTTTACATAGGTTAATATAATAGTTCGATAATATGTTAAAATTACATAGGCAATATTGGTCTCATTTGAAAGATCATGAAAAATAAAAAATTTTGATATAAATTTTATAAATACCAGATCACAAATGAAAAAATTATTATAGTTTTTAACAATAAGATAAATAAATAAATAAATAAATAAATAATAGGACACACTATCACTTTAATACATGTTTATATACGGTGCTCACGTTATACTTAGGTTTTACATAATCTTTATCACAATTAATTAATTAGCACTTATTCATGAGAAAACTTTAACAATATAAATATATGAATAAAATATGGTGGCGATCATTCCATTTGATTAAAGAACGTCCAAGTTGCAACAGGAAGAAATTGTTTTTCGATTCAATTAAACTATAATACATAATAATATAATACGGAGTATGTGATAATTTAATGGGGAAATTGCCCTAAATAAGAGTAAATGAGGCCGTTTGGAATTCCAAAATAGGACTACTATATGTTTTTCTTCCCGAAATAAGAGTTTTTACTTCCATGTATGAAAAATACTGCCATAATTAAAAAATATTGTCATGTTAAATGAACTGTACTGCAACTATTTGACGGTCACGTCAACAAGATGACAGTAAATAATGTCATGTTAGTCATATTTCGGGAATAAAAACATAGTAGTCCTATTTTGGAATTATAAACTCCATTTACTCCTATTTCGGGAAATCTCTCTTATTCTTATTATCATTTTGCTTCTGATGTTTACACATTAACATTTGAGTTCTTGATATTATAAACATAGTAAACGTATTTCGGGAATAAAAACATAGTAGTCCAATTTTGGAATTATAAACTCCATTTACTCCTATTTCGGGAAATCTCTCTTATTCTTATTATCATTTTGCTTCTGATGTTTACACATTAACATTTGAGTTCTTGATATCTCTAGCATGTTTGTGTCAAACTCCTAATTGTTTGAAATGGAAGGATATTTTTTATCTTATAGACTCGACATCAATAAATCAGTGTAAGTACGGAGTAATAATTAGTAGTCCAGTCCTAATGAAATACACACTTTCAAGATCATGAAAAAGCCTAGATCAATGGTCTATACTCTATACACATTTTCAAGATCATACTGATTTATGGTGACCATAAAATTGATAATACAGTGATTATATTATTCCAATTAATTCAGAGTTATTAAAACTTGGGCAGGTTGGGTGAAGACGAGTGGAGGAGACGGTAATTCTACAGTTGTATGGGCCAATGTGGGATCAAATGCAAGCAATTGTGGAGCCACTGTTATTGCCAATCAAGGGTGTTGGAGCTTTCTTAAGGGAGGTTTTTTCTTAAATGACGCTTTAAACACATCTGTCGTCCATTTTGAGGTGTTAATTACTCTCCAATTAATTAATTACGTTTATTAATTACACCTCAATATTACTAAAAAATGGATCAAGCACAAAAAAAGTGACATTTTTCTTAATTTCCAAAAAAATGACAAATAAACATAATTTACTCTAATCTGCAGTGACTTTATCTTATAGTGTCATGACCCGTCATAATAACCACCGACACAGTGACATCCGCCGCAGTGATCACCGACCGCCACCGATTGGTGACTGTCGTCGGTCACAGTGGCATAGTGACTCCGTCACAGTGACATAGTGACTCTGATCACAGTAACTATGTGACCCATTGCCGGTCACCACCATCGTTTACCAGACCTCAGCCACTCATACTGAAGCCTAGCCTCGAAACTCCAACCCACCACCTTTGTCACTACCGTCGTAACCACCACCACCGATGGTCACCACCTTGTACCACCACTAGTGAAGGTCACCATCGGAAAATTCCAGTCACCAGTGACCTCCGCGCCTTCGGTGACCACCCCCCATTCCCCACCACCACAGTCACCAATGACAAACCCCACCACTCCCCACCATCACGGTCCACACTGGTGCACACCCAACCGAAGTTCCTAACCGCCCATATCTAAATATCTACAGAAAACGACGGATGTGCTCCGAAGCGACGACGATAGAGTCGCAGACGAGAAGAAAGAAAGAGAATGATATTCTCTTTGGATTTTTCGGCTCTATGTAGATTATTTTTTAAAAACAAATCCGTTAATATCACTTTTTGGTGGACTTTCTTGCGACAGTGTAGCTGAAAAAAAAACAGATGGTCTGGAGGTCTTCTTGACGAGGCGCGCTTCCTAGTATTTTTCTTTTAATTTTTCAGAGACTTTTGAAAATCGGATTAGTTTTTCCAACGATGTTCGACGTCATGCCCCAACTCTGACAACGGTATCGAAACACATGTCTCACTTTGTTAAAAAAGGAAACATGTGCCCCCATCTGAAAACGGCTCTAACCACATGTACATTTTCTGTAATTTTCCCTTCATTAAAATAACGGAAAGAAAATTGACGGGTTTAATGCACCAAAACCCCATGTGATATGGAAATTCAGCGCATTAGCCCTCTGTGATTTAAAAAATGTGTCAAACCTACTTGAGTTTTAATTAATTATGCGCAAAATCCCTTCTATGAACAAATTCAATTGTCAAATAAAAGAAAAATGATTAACATTTTCGTATGATTCAGAGATTTTGACATATTTACTTTCATATTCAATCACATTATTAGGAAAAGTTATTTCCAAATCGTTAAATTTATTCATAAAATGGATTTTTTTCATGATTAATTAGAACACAAAAGAGGTTGATGCATTTTTGAAATCACATTAGTCTAATGCATTGAATTTCTATTTCTACGAAAAGAATCCTTCGTAGATTCTGCACACATTTTCACATTAATTATCACTCTCACAGAAATTGTACCACACACACATACGAAAGATCCAGTAGAATAAGAGCAAAGATATCAAAAGTATGACAAATTGACAATATAAGTATGTGAGTGCTAGAATCGGACATTGCCAAGAGGTAGTGGTGGCGGATGGTCAGGGCAGGCCTAAGAAATTGAGGGTCTTTTCCAACAAAATAATATGGGCCCTTCTAATTCAAAAAAGATGACACACTAGGGCTCCCAATCCTGATCGGACGATACGTTGAGAGGATGTAATTTGAATTATAATCTCAATTCGACAGATAGAAAGTAGGGCTCTGTCCCAGGTACTTGCAGAGGTCCTATGCATTTCTAGCATAGTAACCCTTCATCGCAGTTGTCGGGATTCGAACCCGGGACATAACCCTTGTGACACTCCCTTGCTATCAGTTGAGCTACGCCCACCGATGGGCCCTTTTAATACAAGTAAAAAGAATAATGACCTATGTCATGATTCATTTTATTAATTAATAAAATTTAATAAAATAGCCAGAATAAAACTAAACAATAACAAAATATAATTAAATTAAAAGAGGCATTTGTCTAGCACATTTAGATGCAAAATCATATATCAAGCTTTCAATGTCAATTATTTGAGTTATTTTAATAATCTCAATTGAATATTAAAAGAGAATTTACCTTAGATAGGACAAAAAATGTTTGCATATTTCTAAATAGGATTATCATGTTTTTATTCTCAAAACAGAACTAATTATTGTCATGATTTGTCATTACTAAACATTAAACATCATAGTATTTTTCAAACATTGAAATAATTACTCCTATTTGGGAATAAAAATAAGAGTCATATTTTGGAATTTTCAAACTTTTTTACTCCTATTTCGAAGATTTTGCCACATTAAAACTACTAAAACTCTAAAACAGATAAAAATAAAGTAAAAACAAAATATTATTTGAGCTTTTTACAAAAAATATTATTTGAGCTTTTTACAAAGGAGAGAGAACTAATATTATTTGATTAAAAAAGTATCAAATTTTTGGAATAATCAAAATAGAAAAAATTGACAAAATTATAAAGGATAAATGAAGTATTATCAATATTTTGGGGCCTTTTATTTTAGTGGACCTTGTGCGAATGAACGCCTTATACTCCCTCAAGACCGGCCCTGACTGATGTCAATATTCGACGTTGTCATCTTTATTGCATGATACTCTTGTAATAACATCTTATTTATGAAATTCTATCTTGGTGTAAGTAAATACATGTTTAATTAGGAGCGTAGCCAGAATTGAACTCGTCTGGTGCGACAAATTTTTTTACACAATAATTTTAAACTTTTAGCCAAGGATATTTTGAAATTTGTGGTGGGGTGGGACCTAAGATGCCCCCTTCTCCGTCCCTAAGCTCAAGGCACTACAAAAAAACACGAGCTTTATCATGAATTTTGTCACGGATTGCAGTTCAAAAATCCTTGTCAAAGTTTCTTTGTCACGGACTTTGTCACGATCAACATCCGTGACAACTTGGGCGTGACAAAATCTTTGTCACGAATCTGGATAAACGGACTGTTTTTTTATAGTTCGGGAAATATGTTTATACACTCTGCGTTTAAAAGGAAATTACTGTCATGTTTAGAAAATACTGACATGTTTGAAGTCTGGTACTGTCAAAACATGGCAGTAATTAGTCCTATTTTGAGAATAAAAACATGACAGTCCTATTTTGAAATTTTCAAACTGCTTTAGTCCTATTTTGGGTAATATCTCATTTTTTTAATAGAAATGAGAAGTTCACTTTGACATATCTAAAGAATGTGAGAATTCTCTTCCAAATCAAAATATGACTTGGGCTGTTACTTGTACTTTTGTAAAGTTCTTATCTGACCTTTCATTCTTTCTTTTTGTTTGTTTTTATGATGCTTTAACTTGGTAGGATTTCAGTGGGAATAATATCCATATAGATGTGGCGAGTAGCTCACTGCAGCCATTCTCAGAAGAAGAATGGGCAGCACAGCAACAGGATATGATTGAGAAGGTAACCAATTAATTGTTGTATATAATTAATCACAAATATATAGTAACAGAATTAATTGTCCTCTAATCATTACAAATAGCTTCCTTCTTTCACAAGAGTACAAATTAAATAGTATGAGTGCAGGTAAGAAAACGTGAGGGAGTAATTACAGTCTCAAATCAACAAGGGCTTAAACTACAAGGAGCCAACATCACTGTGGAGCAAATTTCCTCAGCCTTTCCCTTCGGAACAGCAATTTCAAAAGCCATCCTTTCAAACGTTCACTATCAGGTTATCCATCTCCATAACGTTTTGTTGCTTTTGTTTGCTAAATTATTGAAGAGGATGTGAAGATGGAATCACTATTTAATTTAAGGCTTAATACAATATCAAAGTCAACTTAATTAGTGTATAAACATGCATGGTTCAAGCCCAATGTGAGATTGTAAGGTTAACCGCAACCTAGCTCGTCAATAAATCTACTATCACACCAATTTATACTTATTCACTCGGTCACTCCTGTTGTTCCCTACAATCCAACACTGTCGATATATTCTCTCTACACATTCTTTTTAGTTAAATCCTTACTTTTTTATTATACATTATTTTGGTGCCATATTCTATTATTGCAAATAATTATGATTTAAAATATCAAACATTCCGATGTAAAAATAAATAAATTTAGAGTGACAAAGAAATCTTAATTTTAACACTTGAATTGATTTGAGAAAAATGTTAGATCTAAAAATCTCTAGCAAATGAAACTTCTCATTTTTTATTTTTACATATTCAATATTTGTGTCATATGAAATGTTATAAAAGGTTATATTGAATTTTGATATATTTTTAATACAAATTAGTACAAATAAAAAAACCATAACACTTTAAAGAAAAGAAATATTAATTTCACATGGATCCCATATTTGGTCATTTCTCCTGCGTGCGCCACATCTAGTCCTGCGTGAATAGCTTGTGAATTGCTAAAACCCAAGGGTCCTCTGTTAGAACTGGGGAGTTGGGAAACTGTTTTAGAAAATCTGGCGGATTTCTCAGAGTATCGTGTGATCACTTTCCGAATCTAATATTTCGACCCTATGCCTGGGTTACACGAAATTTAGATTATGGGGATAATCACTCTGAGAGACAGTCTAAAACTGAGGCACCAATATATAGACCATGAACTAGCAGTTTTAGTAGAACTCGAATTCTTCTGATTACCAAAGAGATAAGGCCAATCGGTTAGAGTTTTACTCTAACAGAAAGTCATTCTATTAAATAATTAATATGGACATGTTTATCCGAAAATAAACTTCCATATTTATTTCTTTAATAAAATAAAATTTTGGTCAGGGGCGCTGCCCCGAACCCCGCGAGGGCGGCCTCCCTCGACCCTGCTCGCTGACCGGGCAGCGAGACCCCCGCCAGGGGCACCTGGCGCTGCCCCTTGGACCCCGCAAGGGGGCGCAGCCCCCTTGACCCCCGCCATTTAATCGAACCAAGTTTAAATTTAATTTCGTACAAGTGTGCGCTCCGCACCTCCTAACTTGTCTAAAATTAAACTTGAACTCCATTGGTAATCTGTAAATTCCATTACACTAAAATGAACCTGGTGATACTAAAATCACCAACAATCCTCCCCCATTTTAGTGTAACCATGAATCTACATAAACAAGAATAAGAGACAACCAAACTTATGCATACATGAAAATATCGAAACGATTGAATTTTCATATTAGTACATTACACATTCCAAATACTCGAGAATCAGGGTGTTCTAAGAATTGAACCCTTCAACCCATTTGAATACATGAAGATAACATACACATAAGTTCAAATAAACAACTAGTTCAAAACTTTGACACTATTATTAAGCCGAGTGTCCCAATCCATTCATAATCGTATAAAAGTCAAGTCCCAACTTTTCGAAGTGCGGCTACACTTCACGATCATATAGGTAATTCCTTTAATCATGTACCTGCTTACATTTTAACAAAGGAATTATTAAGAATATATATTCAACCCTTTTACTACAGGTCCGAACACACTAACCTGGGATGACAAAATGCATGTGTTCCATTCCTTAAGTATGAGCTTTCCTCATTGAATTCAACCTCTAATATTATATTAGAGGGGAATTGGGTGTCTCATTATTATGGAATTAAATGGACTTTAAACCCATCCCAATCGCAGACTTGTGCACTAAGTCCCTGACCAGACCTTTAGTTAAATGATTCGCCAAATTCTGTTGTGATTTCACATACTCAACAGAAATTACACCCTTCATGATTAAGTCCCTAATCATACTGTGTCTAACACCTAAGTGTCTAGACTTCCCATTATACACTTGGCTATAGGCCTTAGCCAACGTGGCAGCACTATCACAACGAATAGAAATGGGTGCAATTGGCTTTGTCCATAATGGAATCTCAAAAACCAAATCCCTTAGCCATTCTGCCTCTTTACCGGCAGCAGCTAAAGCAACAAATTCAGACTCCATTGTTGAATTTGTAATGCAAGTTTGCTTCTTAGAGGCCCAAGAAATGGCACCTCCCCCAAGCAAGAATACCCAACCACTTGTAGAAGAATGATCTTCTAGGTGATTTATCCAGCTTGCATCAGTATATCCTTCTAGAACCGAGGGATATCCAAGATAACATATTCCATAATCCATGGTTCCTTTTAAGTATTTGAATACTCTCTGAATTGCTTGCCAATGTTGAGTACTAGGATTGCTAGTATACCGACTCAACCTCCCAACCGCGTAGGCGATATCCGGACGAGTGCTTGTCATGGCATACATCAAGCATCCTATAGCTTGAGAGTATTCTAATTGTGATATTGCCTTGCCTTTGTTTGGCATTAATTTGACACTAGGGTCCATGGGAGTACTCACGGGAGAACATTCACTATAATTAAATTTCTTGAGAATTTTCTCAACATAGTGTGCTTGCGTCATAGCAATTCCTTTGTTCAACCGCTTAATCCTAATACCAAGGATTACATCAGCCTCCCCCATATCTTTCATGGAAAACCTTGATGACAATAAACTTTTCGTTTCATCAACTTGAAGTTGATCAGTGCCAAAAATCAGCATGTCATCAACATATAGGCAAATTATCACACCACACCCGGTTGAATCAAACCGACTGTAAACACATTTATCAGATTGGTTTAGCTTAAAACCACTTGATAAAATAACTTCATCAAACTTTTGATGCCATTGTTTTGGTGCTTGTTTCAGACCATACAAGGATTTGACAAGTTTACACACTTTATGCTCATTACCGGGCATAACAAAACCTTCTGGTTGGTTCATGTAAATTTCCTCATCAAGCTCTCCATTTAAGAAGGCTGTTTTGACATCCATTTGATGGACAACCAGATTGTGGATGGCTGCCAAACCAACCAACAATCTAATGGTAGATATCCGAGCCACTGGTGCATATGTGTCAAAATAATCAATACCTGGTTTTTGTTTAAACCCTTGTATTACCAAACGTGCTTTGAACTTATCTATAGTTCCATCCACCTTCATCTTCTTTTTGAAGATCCATTTGCAACCCAAAGGTTTAGAACCTGGTGGCAAATCACATAGCACCCATGTATTGTTTTCTAAAATTGATGATAATTCATCATCAATTGCCTCTTTCCAAAAGGTCACATCTCGGGATTCCATGGCCTCTTTAAAGGTCTTTGGATCTCCTTCAATACTGTAACAATACGAGTATTGAAATCCAACCTCATCCCTTGATCCTTCCACCAAATACAGCTGGAAATCGGAGCCAAAATTTTTAGCAATTCGAGCCCGTTTGCTCCTCCTGACCTCTTGGGGTTCCGGATCTGATATACCTTCTAAAGTTTCTGAAATTTGTCCTTCATTACTGTTAGAAATCAGATCCTTAGGCCTTGGGATTGATGAAAAACGCATTTCATCAAAAATCGCATCTCGCGACTCAATCACGGTATGTACAGAAACCGAATTATTAGGATCTATAACATAGAACCTATATGCCTTGGAATTTTCAGCATATCCTATGAAAATGCAGTCAATTCCCCTTTCTCCCAAAGTATTTATTTTGGGATTGGTTAGTTTGACAACTGCCCGACAGCCCCAAATTCTGAGGTAACTCAAATTTGGAGACTTTTTGAACCATAATTCATATGGGGTTTTCTTGTTCCTTTTATTTGGAACCCTATTCAAGACATAACATGCGGTAAGCATTGCCTCCCCCCAAAAACCCTTACTCAAGCCTGAGTAAGACAACATCGAGTTGACCATTTCTTTTAAAACTCGATTTTTCCTTTCGGCAACACCATTCTGTTGTGGTGTATATGGTGCCGTGGTCTCATGGATGATACCAACTGATTGGAAATATTGGGTATCCATATATTCCCCTCCCTGATCAGTTCTAAGACATTTAACCGGATTGCTTAATTGCAATTCCACCTCGGTTTTGTATATTTTGAATTTTTGTAAGGCTTCATCCTTAGAATGCAACAAATACACATAGCAAAACCGAGTTGAATTATCAATAAAAGTTACGACATAATTTTTGTTGCCAAGTGAGGGAGTTGAATGAAAATCACAAAGATCACTATGAATCAATTCCAAAATTCCAGAATTTCGATTAATATTTTGAAAAGGTTGTCTTGTGATTTTGGTCAACATGCAAGTTTTACATTTTTCTGTATTGATATCAAAGGCAGGAATTGATCCATCTTTTGACATTTCGTGCATTCTTCTAAAATTAACGTGACCTAAACGAGCATGCCATAGCATGGCATTATCAATTGAAGAAGTGAATGATGCAGATGATACAAACACAGAATTTCCAACAGAAGATAAAGTATCAACCAAATTCAAACAAAACATACGATTAGTAAAATAACCAAAACCAACAAACGTGCCAAATCGAGATAAAATAAATTTATCCGATTCAAAGACTTGCTTAAAGCCATCAGAATTTAAACAACCACCACTAACAAGGTTCTTACTAAGCCTAGGAACAAATAAAACATCAGACAACTTTATTGTTTTTCCCGAAGTAAACGTAAGACTAACAACTCCAAAGCCACAAATTGGTTGACTCGACTTATCACCCATCATCACCGTGGAACCATCATCAACTGGTGTCAATTTCTCGAACCATCGACGATCTTTACACATATGACTTGTGGCACCCGAGTCAACCCACCATGTACGGTCATCATCCTGTACATAAAAAGAACCAGGAATTAGTGAACAATAATTCTGAGTAGAATTATAAAGAGGGTTAGAAAGATTCTGACCTCCTCTAGATGCAGTAGAGTCCTTAGGCCCACTGTTTCCACCACCACTGTTTCCTCCACCACTATTTGCAGCTTTGTTCTTATTGAGATTCACCCGACAATCACGCTTAACATGACCCGTCTTTTGACATCTCCAACAAACCAGATCCTTAGGATTCTTATTTGGTTTGTCTCGGCTATCATTCTTGCGTTTGATGCTTTTTCCCTTGTGATTTTGATTGTTTTTGTTTACTTCAACCATGTGGACAGTAGGCTGTCCAACATCAGGCTTTGCCTTATTTTTGTCACCTTCTTGAATGCGGAGTGATTCCTCAATCTGTATGTGACTACCGAGTTGTAACAGAGACAACTCTTCATTCCCATGTTTCAGATCACGCTTGTAATCCTTCCATGTTGGTGGTAATTTTTCAATTATCATCGCTACTGCGACGCACTCATCCATCTTCATATTATGTTGAGTGAGTTGGCCCAGAATGCGAAGAATTTCATTGTATTGTTCCATAACAGACCTTGAGTCCATCATCTTATAGTGATAAAAATCACTAACAAGGAACTTCTTACTAGAAGCATCCTCAGCCATATACTTGGACTCAAGTGAATTCCACAATTCCTTCGCACTCTCCACGTTTTGGTAAATATCAAATAAAGTATCAGACATACCGTTTAGAATATGGCCCCTGCAGATGTAGTCATCGTTTTCCCACTTGGAACGACGCCTTGACTGCTCAATAGTTTCATCTTCGTGATACGCTGGCATAGGCGTACTCAGAACGTAAACCACCTTCAGTGTGGTCAACAGAAAGTGCATCTTCTTTTGCCAGCGACAGAAATCAACTCCTTGGAATTTCTCCAACTTGTCGAATTTGGAAGTCATCTCTTTTACAGATTCAGCCATGATTTTCCGAAACAAGAAAAAATATTAGATTCGATTGTTAGAACTGGGGAGTTGGGAAACTGTTTTAGAAAATCTGGCGGATTTCTCAGAGTATCGTGTGATCACTTTCCGAATCTAATATTTCGACCCTATGCCTGGGTTACACGAAATTTAGATTATGGGGATAATCACTCTGAGAGACAGTCTAAAACTGAGGCACCAATATATAGACCACGAACTAGCAGTTTTAGTAGAACTCGAATTCTTCTGATTACCAAAGAGATAAGGCCAATCGGTTAGAGTTTTACTCTAACAGAAAGTCATTCTATTAAATAATTAATATGGACATGTTTATCCGAAAATAAACTTCCATATTTATTTCTTTAATAAAATAAAATTTTGGTCCGGGGCGCTGCCCCGAACCCCGCCAGGGGCGCTGCCCCTTGGACCCCGCAAGGGGGCGCAGCCCCCTTGACCCCCGCCATTTAATCGAACCAAGTTTAAATTTAATTTCGTACAAGTGTGCGCTCCGCACCTCCTAACTTGTCTAAAATTAAACTTGAACTCCATTGGTAATCTGTAAATTCCATTACACTAAAATGAACCTGGTGATACTAAAATCACCAACATCCTCTGTATCCAATCTTCATATACAGTTTTTATCTTGGGTTGCAGCACTCATGGGAGTCAATAGCTTCCCATTAGTTTTTTGACTCCATGCAATGCTTTAGCCTAAAGGTATCCATGAGTGGAGCTAAGGGAGCTTAGTTGACCTCCGGAAAGCTTGAGATCAAGGGTCGGAGTCAAGGAGCTCAGGATGGTCTGTTAACCCCCCTAAGTACATGGAGCACGTAGAGCATTCAAGAACATAACCTTTGATTTGATATATTATGAGTTTTGCAGTTCATTACAAGTCAAAAGTTATCACTCTTGAAAAATCGGATAATCTCAATTTGAAATGATTGAAATAGTCATTATATTGCCAAATTCTAAAAATAACATCTTATTTACCTTTAACTACGTGATGTTTGTAATAAATATATTGCATATATATCAACCAAATAGTTCTTTTTAGGTCTCATTTAAATCAATGTTTATCTCATTCAATTCACATATAAACTTTTCACATATGAACTATTGTGTCAAAATGATCTTAACTTTTGATAATGCAAGTACATGACAAAGTTATGAACTTATGACACCTAACTTGTTTTTCTAGTTCGGCCAGGCGGGCCAGCAAAGGGATCATGCCATTGTAATATGGCACCATAATAAGTACTCACTACTTCACTTCATTACCCCTAGAAATTGGATAAACATAAATGAAATGGAGGGAATACATGAAATTGTAGGTTAAATAACTAGATAAGTGTTACATTAGCCACAATGAATGTAGTAAATGTTTGTGACAATGAAAGTTAAACTTGATAAACACAATAAATTACATACGAAAACCTCCTAAACGTTCAAAGAGAAAAGGTGGTGGTTATTTGGTAAAAAGATGACTGTTTGATTTAGTTCGGTTTGATATACAAGCTGTTAGGACTAATTAATATGGAACATTTTTTGTTTTTTGAAAAATGAATTATATGGAATATGGTGAAAAAACTACATCGTCTTCTTTAAGGAAAGAAAAGTAACTATTTGCAACGGTTTGCAGGAGTGGTTCTTGAAGAAGAAATTCGGGGTAACAGTCTTCGAGAATGAGCTAAAATGGCCATCAACCGAACCGTTCCAGGGCAGAACAAACTACACCATCCCCGACCAGATGCTAGACTTCGCGCTGAAGAACAATATCCTCTGCCGAGGCCACAACGTGCTCTGGCAGGACCCCAATTTCCTACCGTCCTGGGTTCGCAACCTGACGGCGTCGCCGAAGCTTCTCAAACAGGCGGCGGACGACCGCATCCGCAGCGTCGTGGGGCGGTACAGGAACAAGCTCATCCACTGGGACGTCAACAACGAGATGCTTCACTACGCCTTCTACGAGGAATCCCTGGGGGATCCAAACGCGTCTTTGGAATTCTACAAATTGGCGCAGGAAAACGACCCGAATGTCACCCTGTTCCTCAACGATTTCAAGCTCGTCGAGTCCTGCGGCTCCCGGAGCAACGTCGACGCGTACGTCGCGAAGATCGCCGAGTTCCGGCGGAACGGGATCAGGAATCTCGGGATGGGATTGGAAGGGCACTTCTTCAATTCGCCGAATCCGGTTTACACCAGATCCGTTCTCGACAAATTCGCAACCCTAGGGGTCCCGATTTGGATCACCGAAGCCGACACCAGCGCGAAATTCGGCCCGGAGAAACAGGCGGTGCATCTGGAGATGGTCTTGAGGGAACTGTTCTCGCATCCCGGCGTGGACGGAATCGTGCTCTGGGCGGCGATGAGCACCGCCGGGTCGTGCTGGCAAATGTGCCTGAGCGACAAGGACTTCAAAAACACGCTCGCCGGAGACGTCGTCGATAAGCTCCTCGGAGAGTGGCATACCGGCACGGTCACCGGTGTTACTCACAGCGGTGGTTCTTTTAACTTCTCCGGCTTCCTTGGAACGTATAAAGTGAGAGTTGAAATTCCTTCGAAGAATTCGGAGACTGTAATTTCGCTCACCAAAGGCGGTGGACCTCTAACCTTCCACATCCATATCTAAAAAACTCTACTTAGCTTATTCTATTAAAAAATTTAAAACATGATTTTAAAAAATGATTTTTTGTCTACAAACGGTTTTTCTTTTGGTTGAACATGTTTCATTTTCACATTAGACCTGCACACTATTAATACTGAATTAGATTAAATTTAAACAAATCAAATCGTATCAAAATATTTGGTGAGACTTAGACAATGACAAAATAAATTTGCTAAAAGGTCAAAATAAGCTCATGTACATGTATGAAATGTTATGTCTCAAACTAAAAGAATGCTCAATTGGCACACCATCAAAAAACATGTCACTGTGCATGTCCAATGCTAAAATATGCACGGTGCACATGTGACATGAAAGATGATCACATAAATATTGATAAATAAATTATATTTTTCCTTATTTGAATGATTTTATTCAATTTTGATAAAAAAAAATTAACAATGTCAACTACAATGTCTACATCTAGACGGTCTCATTGACATTGCACAGAAAACTTACCAAAACTGTATAAAATCATTTAAATAAAGAGAGAGATAATTTATTTACTAATATTTATGTGGTTATCTGACATGCCGAATGTGCATCGTGCACATCAAACGTGGCAAATTAAGAGTCAAATGAGCCCCTAAACCTAGTCGAATGATTTAATTCACCACTTCAATCATTTAAAAGTATCAAAAGTATGAGAGAGAGAAAATTAAATTTGAAAATACATATACAAAATAAAATATGATACAAGTTGAAAATTTAAATTATAAATACGATTTAAGTGAACAATAGCAAAGTGTGATTTTGATGGATTTAAATGTTATAAACGAATTTGAATATTGTGTTGTTTGATTACGAGAAATGGTAAATGGATCTATATGCGTGAATAATAAAATTATGATGCATGAGCAGGGGCGGATCCAGAAAATGGGGTGGGCTGGAGAAAAAATTGAAATACACATACCTAATATTCCTAATAATAAGTCAAGTTGTCAACCATTTAAATATTCATCAAAACAACATTTAAGTTGTGTCCTACGCGACTTCAAAGTATAAAATTCATCAATAATAGAATCTACATCTATTTATTGGCAAAATCTCGTTCAATGTAGATCATCAATGAAACTTCAAGAAAATCATCTCCCATTTTGTTACGGAGTGTCGTCTTCACATGCTTCATTGCTGAAAATGCTCTTTCCGTAGTAGCGGTAGAAACATGTAGGGTCAAAACAAGACGAATTAATCTACATAAAACTACTAAGCTTTAATAACTAAATCATTTTCTACTATTCAATTCTATCTTTAATCATATATATTTATTATAATGAATTAAACATTATTTATTTATGTACTGAAAAATTCAATTAATAATCAAAATGATTCCCAAACCCTAAAACTTTAAAATGCTAAAAATAATAATATATTAATATTATACACAAATAATACGTTATAACCGTATAACACATTGACACATTCATGAAATTACAATCCAACACCAAATCAATTAAAATAATAAATTAAAAATCTAAAAAAGAAATTGAATTTTGAGTTTACCTGGACTCTTGGAGCCTGGAGGGAGGCAGTCATGCAGACGCGCAGACGCACAGTCACCGCGTAGAGGCGGAATGCCGGAATTGGTGGACAACGTCGGCGGCGCGACTAGAGACTGGAGTCGTTCACTAGTCACTTCTTCGTCGCAGATTCAAGCTCCGTCTGCAGTTCGCTCCAATGCTCCCTCATCGTTCTTTCTTCTTCGTTGCTAGACACTATTGCTCTTACGCGAAGCTCCAATTGCTTAAGGCTTTAGCGCAAGTCAGAACTCAGAAGGTCGAGAAGCTGGGCAGTGAGCTGGGATGGAAAATAATTTTGGAATGGGCTGAGAATTTAACATATACTTGTACTAACTAAAAAAAATTATTTTGGGCTGGGCTGAAGTCCACCCTTGCCCTAACTACAATCCGCCCATGTGCATGAGAGGATAAATCATTCAAATATTGTGATTAATGAATTGACATGAATTCTTAGTGATCACTTGTGAATTTTTATTCAAAATATTGAATAAGATAGGTGTGTATTGGAAATGATTCATGGGTTGCGGACTGCGGTCATGTTCAAATGAAACGAGGAAGGCGTGTAGGTTGATATGGGGCAGCTCGGCTAGTCTTGATGAGACTAGCCCAAGGTTATATGATATGAAATTATGAATTAAGTATGATATAATATACTTTGTTGTACTAGTTGATTTTATAGTCAAATGAGGGTATAGATGATACTCATATATGATACGTGAGGTGTACGTGTAATCTCTAGACGATATTCGTGTATGACACACGAGGTATCGATACCTGAGGTGTGTAACCTTTGGATTATATTCGTATATGATATTTCTTTCAATGCTAGTTGATTTGAGTGAATTTTACACGTAGGTTAAATTATAGATTACTTTAACATTTACTTTTCAGCATGCAACTATTGAGAACATGTTTGGTAACTAATATTTTCATCTTATCAGTTATTCTTGTTTATCATAACACATAACTTTTGATTTTACACGCTGAAGTATAATTTCTCATCGCACAAAACTTGGCCAACTTTGACTTGTGATTGAGATTTGTGCAGAAGATAAAGAAACTAGTTTAGCCATATATTTATCACTATAAAGAAAAATGACAAAGGTTTTTGAAATGACTAGGAAAAGGAAATTTAGCCCAGCTTTGTGGAATGAATGAAGTATAATACTCAAACATAAGTGAGTTTTCAGTTACTTTTGTGATTGAATTGACTGAAATTACTATAAAAGATCATTGTAGCTATTTTTCATAAGATTTTATCATCATTTGTCATTACAAAAAATTTAAATATAATATTCTCGCAAATCAGCAAATTAGTGAAATCGATTAATTCAGCTAGAATTTTTCCAGCTTCAATATATTCGACTCATTTAACCATTTTCAATGTTGCAAAATAATGGGTACTAAAATAAATTTATTTCGTTCATTATAACCTGACCAAGATTGGCCGACATGAGTAATAATAAACCAAAAACTGTATAGTTGAAGTTTGTGCAGAGGAGAGAGAATTAACATGAACTAAAAATTCTTTAATTAAATGGAAAATGAAAAAATTAATGGCACAATAAGAAAAGAAAAATAAGCAATTTTTAAGAGAGAGGAATACAATTTAATAAAATCTGGGCAATTTTTCACAACTAATCATAAAACTGAAAATAATAACACTTTTTTCGCTTTTCAAAGTTTCTTTCAAAAATAAAATATCTAAGAGCATCTTCAATGGGGCTCTCAATTATTAGAAGTGCACGGCCACGTAAATAAAATCGAGTCTGAATAAAAAAAAACTTCTTCCAATGCAAATGTCTATATTACATACGGTGCTGAGTTGAAATTTTAAAACTGCCACAATGTGCATCTTGATTTCTGGTTTTAGAAAGGATGTCAAACAGGATGAGTCAACAAGCTATTATGTTACTACGTAATTTAGATTTATTTGAACATATAAAAGTCACTAAAAAAACCTCCGCACTAAAATAGCATAATGGACACCATGAAAACTCACGGCTCTGTTGGAGAATGAATTTTATTTTGTCTTTGTGTTTGGCCAACTCATCCCATATCCTTTTCAATAGTCTGTTCATGCTAGGGGTGGGCATGGTTGGTTAACCGTAATTTGGTTAACCAATTTAATGGTTAACTGAGATTCCGGTTTATATATTTATAATATGATTAACCGTACCGTAATGATGATTAACCGAGTAATATTTAACTGTGATATAGGTTAACCATTAATCGGTTAACCAAAAAACCGTTCGCCAGAAGAAGCAAACTTGGTAGCAGTCCTCCCGTAGTCTCGTATATACAAGAAATCAGTGCACATACTTCTGGACTCCCGTATGTCAATTTCTTTTTTTGCTCTTCTTATTTTCAATGATTAATTCATTTTCAATGTAGATAATCTTGGTAGATAACAACTAGCTGACTCGATCATGTAAAATGCGATAAAGGTAGTCGATTAGTTTTCAATTATAAATTTATGCATTTACACGCACAGCCAATTAACCTCTTGGATAATGGCTTTGTATTTATTTTCGAGTAAATGAGGAAAACAATTTCGGCTAAAGGCTTATTGTGATATGCCCTTATCGGAATGATATTTTAACTTTGCATTATCGGTTAACCGACGGTATTTAATTTTAAAACCGTAACCGTACCGTGAACCGCTTTATTCTTTCGGATAGTTAACCGTACCACAAATCTTTAAAAGTATGGTATGGTTAACCAAAAAAAGCATCGGTTTTTCGGTTATTTACCACGGTTAAGCGGTTACGGTTTTTCATGCCCATCCCTAGTTCATGAAGTGATGTGTCCACATTTAAAACTCTAGAATCCATGTTGTTATTGGAGATGTTCTAAATCTTTCTTTTCGAAAATAGGCTACTCGTATGAAAAACACATACGGCCCATGGGATGTCTCTCCTCACAAGTGCACTGTGCACGTAAGTTCTCAACCATTGCAACTTCTCTCTAAAGCTAAAGCTAATACAGAATACAAAATACATGGAACAACTCAATATTTGTTTTTAAATTGAAAAAAAAATGTAAAAAACTATTAAAAATTATGAAAACACTTAGAAAAATAAAAGTCCAAAAAGTAATAGTAATTTATAAAAAGAGTAGAAAGCTCAAATTCAAAAACAAAATATTTCAAAAAAAGAATATTAAAAGATGCAAAATTGAAAACATGTAAATTAAATTTTAAAAATAAAAATAGGAGAAATTAAATTAAATTAAAATCTAAAAAAATATCTAATTTAGAAAAAACAGAAATTCAAATCCAGAAAATGAAAATGTAAAAATTTAGTAGTCAGAAATGTAGGAAAATTCTGCAGTTTTGTAACACAATTTTTAAAATTGCTAATATATATATATATATATATATAATATGACAAAAATATGGATTTTTAAAGTTGTTAAAAGAAAAAAATATAATGAAAAATATAGATATAAAAATATTAAAAATAGAAAATATTTTTAAAATTCAAAAAATGTATATCAGATCTAAAAAAACTTATTGAAAATGAGAAAAAAGTGCAGAAAATTTTTAAAAATACAAACTCTTAAATAAAAAGGGTAAAAAAAGTCAAATTTAGAGAAAATGTCGAAAAATACAAAACATGACTTTTTTGTATAATGTTTCTCACTGTTGTTTTTTGTTGACTTTTTTAGACAACTTTTAATATTTTGTTTTTTATTGCTTATTTATGTTTCATATTGTTGATTTACATGGTGCAATTTTTTTTAATAATAGGAAAACTAATTAAATATCAAAATTGTAATTTACAATATCACAAAGGGGCATACTTAATACTTCTACTTAAGCAGTAAGAGCATAACAAGCCAATGCTTCATGCACTAGCATAGTGCACCAAACTACAAATAAAACAATCTCAAACAATTTTCCCAATGTATAATCTACCCAAAGGAACTACCAGCAGCACCATATAATCTGCATAATCTGACAGGTAAAGTCTGCCCAAAGTAACAACAACAACATCATATAATCTGCATAATCTTATCGGTAGAGTCTGCCCCAACAGCAGCAGCATGCACTCCACAACTACTCCACCTTTGTCACCAAAGTACAAGGTAAATCACCACTCCACAATTTGCATATCAGTAAATACATGCAAAACTCCTAAGGCAACATGAGATAATCAAGAATAGAAACAAGGAAATCGCCATAAAAATCAATAAAAATGGTAGGAGTAGACCATATGAATAACACGTTGTACATCAATAGTTTAGTATGCAAAAATGGAATCATAGGTGTGTGCCTACTGCCTACACACATACATATCAAAGTACTACATACAAATGGAATCATAAATAAAAATAAACAATAAAGATACATAGTTGAAGATGATAAACAAGAAGCAACATAATGCAACAAAAAGAAACACAATACAACAAAAAAACAAAATAAAAAAACAATAAAAGAAACAAAAGCAACAAAAAGAATAAAAAAAATGAGTTTGTGAATTTTGTTTGCAATGGTGGACAAAAAGATAAATTAGTAAAATAGAAGTAAGTACATCCCTATATCACTTTTTCTTATATTTCATAATCATTTGAGTGGAAATATATCTTCCCTCTTTGATAGAGACCACAGACCACAACATCAACAAGGTGAAGTAATTTAAAAAAAATAGAGCCTGACATATGTATATAAAATATACACAGTTTTTAGGAGCTTGAGAATTACTGGAATTGCTCTTTCTATGTTGACTACATCTTCTGCAAGTTCAGAAAAAACAATTTCTTGAATTCATGTACAATTTCATTCTATTAATACAATTACCAATTAAAAGACTCAAAGCCAGTGTCATGCTGTGTAGTACATATTTTAAGCTGAACGGCCCAACCTTTTCAGGGCAGTGTTTGAGACTTGAGAGGAAAAGAATTAAAGACAGTGAAAGTTGAGTCATTAGAAGGACGGTATCTTTAGCATTTACATCACCCTCACTCTTCTCATTAATCCCACTAACATCCTTCATTGATGTAATTTTCCACAAAGATTTGTAGTCTCTCACAGTCTAGTCAACCTAAAACATAAGCCAATTCCCTCCATTCCAAACACAAACATCTAGTTACAAATCATATCTAGTTACAAATTAAAACATAAGTCAATTTCCTCCATTCCGAACATGTATAGTCCAATCACAAGAAGCTACTCTACTAAAGGATGTCAATATACAAATATCATTCACAACCTTGAAGAAGATGAAGAATAAAATGGAATTCTTTGATGCGTAATTTAATCCCTGTTAAAAATTAGTTGTGCTAAATGTTATCAACATAAATAAGGTTCACAAAATTATTAGTGAATAGAATAGGACTATATGAGACATTAAATCAATTTACAGAGATAAATGATCTGCTCAATGAAATGGCACCAACAATTGATTTATAGTCACTGCAATTTGATTCATCATCTGGTTTATCCTCATCTCACTCTGCGATCAGCCTCTTATCTTCTCACTACTGCATTTGAATTCATTTTCCTCCTATAATGGAAAAATATTGCACCGAGCTGGATAACCCGATTTGAGATTAAATGAACCAATGTTCCTGAAATCGTAGATAACCTGTAGCGAAAAGCTTCTCAAATCTGTGGAATTCAAAGGGTAGAACTTTAATTCCTAATTGAACCAATTTGTCGAGGAAAAAATCAATTTCGATAGCCACTTAGAGTTATGAGAAGATAATCAAGATATTACACTGGTTGAGAGGGCTATAGTTCAGAATGAATACGGCCATCGTCGTTTCTATACCAATTCCAATCTGGAAGAAGGCAACACTGATTCTCAGAGAGATGGATGGCAACTCAGAATGAAAACGACCATACTACTCTGCTACAGTGTTAAAACAATAACTCTACTCTCTATTCCAAGCCTGGAGACCGCCGGATCGATTGCCTGACGACGGTGGGACGAGATATCCGAACACAGATCCATCGGTGATGCCCAATCCCAACCATGGGATCCACCTCTCGGAGAAGAGAGTTGAGAGTCATGGTCCGGTCTACGGTCAGCTCTCTCAAATTTTTTTCACCGACAAGGCCATGAGAAACGTTGATCGGAAATCGATCTCCCCCCGTGCATCAATCTCTGTGATACTACTCCACTTATGGAAGATGTTAGGAAAATTGAAAAAGAAAATCAAAATTGAGAAAGCAAAAGTTAAAAATGAAAAAGAAAAGCACGTGGGTCATAAATGATACGTAGTATCTTGAACCTAAAACTAGCCCATACGGGTAATTTGCACTAAAATCTGTCAATTTAATGTTATTGGCCCAAATTGTTGATCCGATCCAATTAGAGAATGACATGCCCAAGAACTACATTCTGGAATAACAAATTTATCCGATTTACCATCTCCCTACCGCTCAGCCCTCCGTTTCCAGCTCCTCTTCCGCTCAGGTCGGACGCAGTCTACGCCACGCCAGTTCGTATAGTATCCCGAGGTTAGTCGACTGTGAACACTTGTCACATCATGATGATGTCATATCGACGTCATCATTGTCAGGCGGGAGCCGTTATCCCAGGCGGTCCAGCTTTTATATATATATAGAGAGATAGATACCTGAGTTCTGGATCGTGGAAGTTAACATTGTTCAGTGTTCTTGCTGGGGTGAACCTATTTGTGCTTGTAAATTAGGATAGTTTCCCGATTTCTAGTTTAGTGACAGAGAGGGTGGTTATTTTGTAAATGTTAGTGCCCAACAGATACTCTAGGAGTCTAGGGTTTGATGGATTGCCGTATATCAAGTTATTATAAAAGCTAGTGTGTATGATTGGCGATAAAGTGATATGATGACCAATGAGTAGACCAAATTGGCATCTTAGAAATTCTCTTTTTATGCTATAGATAGGTTCTTGTCAGTTTCTCTTAGGGAGTTGTGGAGAATATTTGGGATTAGAGATTGCATCTTACTCCATCCCTCCCAAAAAACATGTATTGTTCATAACACTATTTAGAGGTAGTATAGGTTTATAACCTTCCATAAGCATAAGATTTATGAGAGTATACATTCACTGTGTAGTGTGTAGTTTACTCCCTCCATCACATTTTAGAAGTCTCTACTGCTTCTTGCATGGATAATGATGAAACATACATATTTGGTTGATTTTATATTTTACCATAAAAATGTAGGGTACTTTTAGTGAAAAGGCAGGTAAATGCCTTAAAATGTCAAAACAACAATGTGTAAGTATCATCTAGGCATCTGAAATGTGAGTGTAAGTTTAGTTGAGTATTGTTACTAATTTTGATTTTGATTCTGTTGAATACTTGGATCAGACAGCAAACATAGTTACCTTTAAACTGAAGTTCATTTAAATTTCATTTTGTTATTGTACAAAGCATGATGGATTTGTCGAATCCTGCGGTGTTTGTCAATGCTGAGATACTACGTATGCATGTGGGACGGAGGGTTCGGGCAGTGATTCAGGTTATTCGCGCTGATGGTGGCACAGTGACTGGAAAATCAACAGATGAGCAGCAGATATTCATCAAAGGTCATGCTCCTGGACCACTCTCCACATTTGTTGAGGTTATTGGCATTGCCGATAGTCCCCAATCAATCCGTGCTGATATATGGACCAACTTTGGGGACACACTCGGTATTCCTTCTGATCCTTTCATTAAGCGTATATCAATGCTTATGTAATTCAATGATAAACGTCAGAGTTTAATCGTTTTGGTCAGCCAATACTAGCCTATCAGTGCCCTTATTGAATTTTAAGCTGCTATAAGAAATTTTATCTTTCATTTTTAGATTCGGTGAATTAAAATTTGTTTTTCAACTGAGTAGTACGGAGTAAGATACTAAGAGCAAGCTTCCCAGAATTTCTGCTACTTTTTTGCGAAAATGTTGATATTATTTGTTCAGATATGATGTGTGAATATATAATTATATATACGAACATCTACTACTAGTCCTTTTTACTAAATAATCACACTATTCCTCGCATCTTTCTGTTTTTCCATGCTTAATTATTACATGCAACTTAGGCCTTTTGAGGACTCAAATTGAAATGAACATAATGTGATTGACATGCCATTTTTGCCTTCACCAACAACGCACATCAAGGTCAACATGGGAGACTCATTGTTTCCTTTGTATATTAATTCATATTTGCAAGCATGCAATCAATTATTTTGGACGCGATGTTCACTATGAGTCATCCGGAAACAGTCTCTATGTGCTTTAGTACAGGGGTAAGACTGCGTACACCCGACCCTCTTACCCCACCGTAGGTGGGAGCCTTTGCGGCATTGGGGTAATGATGATGAAGCATGCAATCGATTGGTTTTGTTTGGGTAATAGCTAGTTCCTCCATTTTTGGCCAGTTAACGTGGATTGAGAATGTTATTAATATCTAAAAGTATTCATGCAAAATGACTATTTTTAATTAAAGATTTTTTTCTGAAGCAGCCTTTAAGTTTTTTATATTCGTTAAAATGACCCTCTGCTATGCATGTTTCTTAAAGTAACATTTTTGGATACATTTTGTGGATACATATTCTTAAGGTAACATGAGGTATGCTAAAATACCCTTGCACAAATGAGCACAATTCCCAAGTTAATCGTATGAGATCCTTTGGGGATTGGTTATTTTTTAGAAATGCGTCATTTTTAGAAATGCCAAAACCCTAAGGGTTAGGTTAGGAAATTTCTATTTAATCAATGATTCCACCAAAATCAGGACGTGGGTAAAGTGTTGAAATTGAGCAGTTAATGCTCTCGGAAATCCAACAGTGAAATAGAAGACCGCGTTTATTATGTCAAGTCACTGATAGAACAAAATGGAGGGATTATTACGGCAGTCTGTTTTAAGCGTGTCAAGTGACTGATACAAACCATTGATAGAACAGTATGGGGTTGTTTGGAACTGATTCTGATTCTGCTTCTTTTTTAAAGCAGAATCATAATCAGTTTTCAGAAGCTGGTCACCCCCAACTTCTAAAAAAACTGATTCTAGGAGTAAATTAGAGCACCAGAATCACTTTTGCACTTTTACCCAAACATTTCAACTTCTGCTTCTGCTCCCTGAACATCCCCTATGAGCAGAAGCAGTTTTAAGAATCAAATCTAAACATCCCCTATGTGTAGTCATTGAACCCCTATGTGTAGTCATTGAACGTGTTTCCATTTGATTGAGTTGCAATAGAAATGATTTAACTTGCAGTTTTCTGGAAATGATGCAAGCACATGAATTTTGGAAATGCTTGATTATCCTTTTCTTGTTTTGTTTTGTTTTGTTTTGTTATGCTTACAGATACAGTTAGTTACAACCGCGTTTGTGAACTTGCCAACAGGGAGTATAAGCACCTCTTCATGTGAGGATCTATCTAATCGACTAATCTAGGTTTATGATGCTGTAGTTCCATTTGTTTAGCACTTCATGAACATAGTACATGAGAATATTCAAATGATGGTATTTCGAGTCTTAACCGTCTGTTTTGGTAACAACACTGATCGGAGGGTATCATTCAATGAGCATTGTTATATTGTGTGTTCGTATATTCTGTACCGCAAAACAGCTAAATCTTCTGCCATGCATGTAATTCACTGCTATATTGTCGGTATTAACACTAATATCGTTGTCACAACATACTGGTGGTTTTCTGAAATCTTTTAAGAAGCCCTCTCATAAAAACTACTCCGTATAAGATATCATCCACAGATCCGCTCATCCTACACAAGTCTGATGTGAACAGGGGTGGTCCGGGTGGTGTCCAAAATCCAATTGAACGCGTAGTATTTAGAAATATTAACTACTGGTAATATTTTACAGAAATTTATATGACTTTTTAAACTGAAACTATTAAACTGAATAGCTCTTAATTAATTTTTATATGATTTTTTTGTTGAAGCAGAGGGTCACTTTTACTTTTCATCCACACAAGAACACACATAATGATACTATTATGTATTCTTCAAATATTGGCTCTAGAGGAGCCATTGCCCCTTCCAACACACAACATGCGCATACATTTGCAAATTGTAACTATGAGTGAATTGAGGTCTCTCTTTGTATTGTATTGACAAACTGGTTACCAAATAAAAATCATTATATTTTGTTTTGGTATATTTCTAAAATATATTAAAATTTTATTATTTCATTATTCAGTTTTATTCGATTTTCTTTGGTTTCTTTTCATTTTGATATGGCTTAGAAGAACGATTGCCCAATTCAAATTGAACTACACATAGTGGTTTCAGATCCATTGGTACAATGGTACCTATTCAATTCAACCAAATTGAGTTGAAATGACAACCCCTAAAACCCTAAATAGATCAGTTTACAAGTCTATCGTTGATCTCCAGTGAAATTGACTTATCGACATCTTGATGAAAAATGAAATATTATGATTTCATTTGAAATTATGATATTTTAAAATCGAAGATGTACAAAAATATGAAAAAGATGCTTTTGTTTTTGAGAGGAAAACTTAAATTATATTAATATCAAACATCATTACATCATCACATCATCACCCTTACACTAATTCCACTTTCTCATCTTTCTTAAGCTAACAAGCATTTCGCCCTCTGATCAGACATAGAATATACTACCCAAAATTGAGTGTGACTATTCGCTGAACATACGAGAGATTCGAACCTATTATCGGTCCAAACAATTTGACTACTTCCAAACAATCTCCTTCCTACCGGAACAAAAAACAAAACCCACCTACCACCCTCAGAGTCAAAAGCAACAAAACAAATAAAGTGTTGAAATATAATGCATAAAATAAATTGAAAGAAATAACTAGTAATCATCTGATGAAGAGTATCCGCTCCATCTTTATTCTAAACCTTCTGCAAGCTTGTCAATGACGAGTCATGCGAGTTGCAGAGCTTCAACTCGCCTCCTTCCCGTTTTTTAATCTCTGCGTTTCCACCTCCATGTTGTCGTCTTCCTCCTAATTGACCCTCCTACGCTTTTGCTCCGACCTATCCTCTGTCTGCTTCTGGGCAGCTGCCATATCCAAGGAAATCTTGCTACTAGAACTAGGCCCATTCCCCATTCCCTCTTTGCCTTGAGACAGATTCTTCCCCACCGGTACTAGCCACGTGTTATCTCCAACCTGAGTGTTACTCTTAGTAGCCCTAAGCCATGGCCTGTACGGTTTATCCCTCATTCTTATACACCCCTCAGGGTTGCGAGGCAATACTTATCAATGTGCCCAATAATGCCACACAAGGCAAAAGTTGGGCAGCTTCTCATAACGAAAGATGACACAGACACTAGCTCCCTCTTTTTGTAGAACTAATTTCTTTTTCAAAGGCCTAGTTATATCGAGACTCACCCTTATTCTCATAAAAGGGTTCCATTTAACCGAGAAATATGTACGTCCACCCTTATGGACCTTCCTACAAAATTCCCAATTTTCACCGCATTTTCCTTAGAAGAGAAACTCATCGCGATATCATGCACTTGAATCCAAAACTCAACCATGTTCAAGGGAACTGCCAAACGCAAATCCCCTTCCTGTAGCTTAGCCATAACGATAAGATTCTGGTTGAAAATCCAAGGACTGCCCTCCAAAACATGCAACATATCATTCACATTATAAAACTTGAACAAGCAGCGTCTATTACCCAAATCAATGATAGTAACCGGCCTCCAAACAGATGTTATAGTATCTCGAAAAGTAGTGAATCACGCTGACTTCTTCGAAGTGACCTTACCAACAAGTGCTAGGTTTCCATCCGCCGCACCCAAAGTCGTGGCTTCCACCAATATGGTCTCGCCTTCATCATCCATCTCCATGTTTCCATACGCCTCAACCAGCTTATCCACCTCATTTTATTCTGGAAACCCCTCCATCACTTGGACCCCTTATTGTGCGAAGCTCCTATCACCAACTGTCGTCTAGGAACTCTGCTCCCTACGCTTGAGTGTCTACGACACAAATCGATCAGAGAAGATAACTCCTTCTTCACCCTGAGCGAGATGTTCGTAGCCCTAGCCCAGACGAAATCTTAGCCAACTGGCCTCACCACACTACCCACCGAAGTATCCTCGCCGCCTTCTGCGTCAATCACGCTGCTCCGTTGAAATCTGTTCAAGTCTTGCCGCCTAACCCTAGGCTCTTTTAAACGGCTTTAATTCCAAAACAAGGTTGAAATACAAAATTATTTACCGGAAAAACTACTATTTTCGAGCATTTTGACTAATATAATATTATATAATTTATAAATTATACAGAGTATGCTTTTATGAAAATATTTTCAATAAAGAATATTTCCGTATCATTTTTATATTACATCTCTTCCATTCTCTTTTAATTGAAACACTTATCTTAACGTTTGTCAATACACAACTTTGACCATTAATACATTTAGTTCTCTCTTCGTAAGAAAATTAAAAAAATCAGATTTTGAAAAATTATAACATAAATTTAATGACATTTTTCAAAAATTAATTGGATAATAAATTAATGAATGAAAAGGAATCAAAATATAATATATGAATAATGTAAAATTCAACATCTTAAAATAATTTAAGAACGGAAAGTAATACTCCAAAATCGTTTAGGATTTGGCTACTTCCTATCAGTGATACAGCCGCAGCTAGGTTAGGTTAGTGGGGCCAAAGTAATTTTAAAAAAAAACCATTTTTTTAAAGTGTTTTTGTGTTTTCATTTTTTTCCAATTTCTAAAAAAAGTAAATCAAAATTCATATTTTTTTACGATCTTTCATTTGACATCAATATTGCATATAGAAAAAAAAATAAAGGTTAATTTTGTGTTATATAAAGAAATCTTGTGTATCATAATTGTAGTATAGTTTTCCTTAATTGTGTTGCCGTTCATGTATTTAAAAAAGTTAAAGACAAAAATGTAAGTCTCCTAAATGTTTCCTAGAATTTATTATATGTCGTTTCTTATATTTTTCATCAACATTTAATGTGAAATTGTCGCTTCAAGTTATAATAACGACATAAGCAAGTTATAGATACTATGAAATGAAAGCGAGTTTCTTCTGCTCTCGAATTTAATGATATTTGCACTTAAGGAAAGGTTGAGTTTTTTCCCACAATATTTAGTCAAACTTAGTCCACAATATTTATTTTAGTAAGGTTTTAGGGAAAACCGCTTAAATAAAAGTAAAACAATAAATAATTCTATTCACTTGAAAATTTTTCTCTAAATTATTACTAAAATAAATACTATGGATAAACATGTGACAAAATTGACTACGAGTACGTGTTCATATTCAATTTAATATAAAATTTATTCATAATCATAGTCACTAAAAATTAGTAAGTCGAAATTTTGTTAAACTATTATTCGTATTATTTTCATCATACATTAGAAATTAATTCTTTATTATTTTGTTACTCAGCCAATCTTAATGTTTTTTGAATTTGAAAAGTTCTAATTAAAGAGGGATATTTTCGACGACAGAAGAAACTCGCTTACATTTCATAGTATCTATAACAACTTTATGTCGATATTATAACTTGAAGCGATAATTTCACATGAAGTGTTGATGAAAAATATAAGAAATGACATATAATAAATTCTAGGAAACATTTAGGAGGCTTACATTTTTGTCTTTAACTTTTTTAAATACATGAACGACAACACAATTAAGGAAAACTATGCTACAATTACGTATGATACACAAGATTTCTTTATGAACACAACATTAACTTTTATGTTTTTAAAATTTTCTATATGCAACATTGGTGCCAAATTAAAGATCGTAAAAAATTATGAACTTTGATATACTTTTTATAAAAATTGAGGGGAAAAAATGAAAACATAAAAACACTTTAAAGAAAAATGGTTTTTTTAAATTACTTTGGCCCCACTAACATGACCTAGCTGCGGCTGTATCATTGATAGGAAGTAGCCAAATCTTTTGAGGTTTTGAAAGTCCTCAATTGGTTTGGCGATTTTGCCAAAGATAAATACTTCGGAAATAGTTTTAACCCAAACTTAATTTGGTAAATACTTTTTTATTTAACATTATTTTGGAAAAAAAATCATAATTTCCAATGAAAATTTGTACCAATTAAAATTTCCACTTTCCTTTTTAGTAAAGAATTTGAAGTTCACAACATTTATTACACATTTCTCTCTCCTCTACAACACTCTCCACCACACAATACTCGATATTTGGAAGTTTTAATATTTGGAAGTTTAAAACATATTTGGAAGTTTGAATAGGAAAGGAGGAGTAATCGAAGTAAAAGAGTATTTTCGAATCACAAAAAAACTTCTTTTTGTGCGCGCGGCTGGAGTAGCGCCACGGATACGACAAAATTACAGGACCGCCATGGCACCGCCGAGTGCCACATTTTCAGATCAGGATTCTTCGACGATCGACAAAGAAAAGGACCTAAGAAGAAGAACTGAAAAGAAGAAATCAAACTAGCCCTCCGGAAGCAAAGATCAAGGAGAAGATGGATCACTACAGGGTATTAGGGGTGAGCCGTCAGGCAAGCAAGGAAGCAATCAAACTAGCCTTCCGGAAGCTCGCAGTAGAATTCCACCCAGACAAGCACGTCAACTCCCCTCCGGACGTGAGAGAACGCGCCACCTCCAAATTCAAGCAGCTCTCCGACGCCTACGACACCCTAATGGACGATCGCAAGCGCGCCGATTACAACATCCGCTCCTCTAACCCTTCTCCCCCCTACGGAAACAATCGTCATAATAGCAGCTATTATCAATATCAGAATGGTGGTAATTACCGAAATCCGCGCGGTTACGGCTATAATGACGGTTATACCCACAGCCGCCCTGCTTCAGCCGGCATTAAGTTGGAGATGCTTTTTCGCTTCATGACTACCCGGAGTTTTCTTCTCAACCTTTCATTCGCTGGGTATTAGTTTCTCTTGTTCTTACTGCGTTTAGTCTCTTTACTTGTGGTTAATTTGTGCATTCAATTGGTTTGGATCATTTGTTTCCTCCTTAGAGTTACTGTTTCATTACTTTAGTGAAACTGGCTTGATAGGTTAGTGACAAAATCAAACCTACAATACTGACCATTACCATTTTCTCTTCTTTTCCCTACTGTTGGTTAATTCAAAACAAGGTTTGATGTACAGATCTATCAAAATACTTCGTATCAATTAAGAATAGTAAAATAAACAACACATGATTCTTAGTTAATCCAGGCCAACTCTCGTATTATTATTCACTTCACAATTTTAAGGATCATTTAGCTGTAATATAATGATCCTTAAAAGTAAACTGGAATATACTACTCCGCAGTATTTATGTAAATAAATGAATTTGTTTTTTGAAAATGTAACCCAATAATATTAAATTGATTGTTTTACTCAATTCAGATTGTTTATTCCACACGCAAAATCAACGACCTCATATATAATATCATTCAATCTAGACAGACATTTTAATATAGACCAACATCTTAACCCAAATACAATTTAATAGAAAAAAAGTAAATGTCCCCCCTAGGGAACTCTTGAACTCATCCACACGAGTCAGATGCTGACTGGTTAATATGCATTGCATTTTGTTGTCCTTCATGCGAGTGGTGTAAAATACGTATAGAGTTATTTAATCAGAAAATGACTAAAGCAAATGTCATTTTGTTATGTGTAAGGAAGCTATATTGATTCATTACTTTTGTTGGCAAAGGCTTTTGTTAGGTGCATCTGTGGGAATCCATAGCGGTGGGAAGGCACTATGGAAGATGCACAACTCTGGAGTATGTTGTTATTGATATCTGACTTCAATTAGTTCTAAGTTATTACTCCTGATCACTTTTATTGGTTTCAGTATGATTTTCAGTTAAGTTAAGACTAAAGCTAGTGGTAATAAATACTGTAGAAAAAGTAAAAAAGTATGAGGTGTTAAAAAGTAGGAAAAGCAGGAAGATAAGTTGAGAAAGTTAGGATATTTACTTACTTTAATATGATGTAGTTTCATAAAATGGAAACCAGAACAAGTAATTAAACTTACATAGAATGATAGTTGAGCAAGTAAAAGTGAACACAGGTAGGTTGAAGGTTTTCCATTTTGGTGGGTGCTGACATATAAATGAATAAATGATCTCAAATTATCTCAAGGTGATAATTCCGACCGCGTGTTTCTTCCCACATCAGTCATTTTTGTGATATCTTTCTAATTAATAATGCAGAAATCATTTGAAGATGCAATGGAGTCCATAGACAAATCCAAAGGATTTAACGGTGAAAAATAGAGAGATTGTTCATGTCATCATTAGTCCATTTTGTCATAGTCCAATGACAAAAATTACATCGTTCTTAATATGTGCAGGAATTAAAAGGTAAAGCAATTTCTAACATGGGCTATATAATCTTCACGTCACTTGAACATACATGTGCATACAAATGTGTGTATTGAGTGGGTAGGTGCTTGTGTGTGTTAATAGAATTAAGGCGAAAAAAGAATATTTGCATTCATTGGTTACAAAAAGTGGAACATCGATTTCATCAAGAGGTAGCAAAACATGACTAGGTCTGAACCGTCCGATGAGAGGTACAAAATCTTGATCTTCCTGGCAGTCATTGTGCTTCTCTTCTTGCTGTACACAACTCTTCAGCAAAAGTGTTGGACTGTTGGGATTGAAAGAAACTTGGCTTTGCAATAACCCTGTCATCAAGGTGAACAAGAAGAGGAGGAAGAACAAACAATAATTGAATAATGCACTGAATGCCTGAACCTGTTTTTTATAGCTTTCCGTGCAGCATTTTTTTCATCCTCTTTCAGTCTCATCTGATGTGTATAGTCTTCTCAAGTTATTATACTCATAGTTACTCACTATTCATTGATTAAATTCTCCAGTAGGGCTGGATAAAAACAGATAAATGGAGATCAAATAAAACAGAACTAAACAAGCCAAATCTTAAGTGATTATGACAAAACTTACTAAGAACACCCCAGGTTGCTGAATAATAAAATAATGTACTATCTTTGTTTTTTAGTTGCAATATGTTAAATTTAACACTATTCACATGCTCTACGTTGATTACATTCAATTTATTTAATGTATTATAAATTTAACCCCTCGCCTTGTAGGCATACCTTTGTGCACCAGGCTCTACTTTTATTATAGTTAATTTTTGAAAAGTACTGTTAAATTTCTCATTTTAAATTTTCAAACTCTGGATTTTTTAATTTGTTTACTAACAAGTAACAAGGAGTCAATATAGTAATGATCAAACTTGTGGGTTGACAAAAGTGAAAATGAAAACGTTGCAACAAAAAAATGGAGAAAGTATTATGTATACTTAAATTTAGTCCTATTTAATTCAAGACTTTTATGTTCTTATGCTAGTTTGGAAATATTTTGCTTTCAAAAAGAATAAACTTCACTTTTTGTCCTATGGATATCACATCAAATTTAAAATTAGTCAATGTCTTTGACTTTAATCACTTTTGATATATGATTATTGTTTTTTGTTCTTATGATCACTTTTGTTCTTATTAAAAGTGTATAAAATGAAAGCCACGAATTAAAGGTGAAATAGACATAAAACTGATAAGATCAAAAGTGAGATTAATTCTATTTCACTTTTGATTATACAAATTGGAACTAATTTTCGTTCAGGACAAAAAAATGGACTACATTAATATGAAATGTCTCAAATGTCCTAGGAACCTAACTCCCAATTTGCGTGTCTGCTACCCATCTTCGTCGAACAACTAAAGCCCATCTTCGCTGAAGCATCCGATCAATCTGGAAAGCTGCACTGCATCAATCTCCCCTTCTTCAAAAGGCTCGTCGAATTTAAGATGATGTCCACATTCAGCAACGATGAGGATGACGACAGAGCCCTCTTCACACATTACGACGATGGAGCTTTGGAAGAAAACGATGGAGCTCTACGAAGACGACAATGGCGGCATTGTACGCACTTGAAGGTGAATGTTTCATCTTCACCTTCTTCTTTGCTTTTAGATCTCGGAAAAGTCTTCACCGTCTTCTTCACCGTTTGAGGCTCCTTTAGATCTATGGTTTGAACTTTGAAGGGGGCTAGGCAGGGGTGGTGAGCCGGTGATGGACAATGATGGTCGCCGGCATCCAGCGGTGGACGGTGGTAGGGGGTTGGGGATGCTAGAGAGGGGGTTGGGTGGGGCTGGAGGCTGGCCGTCGGAGAGGGGTGGGGATGGGACGCCGGCTAAAGTGGTCGGTGGAGGCGTTTAGCAACGGTGGTTGCTAATGGTTGTCGCTATCGCATCGGGTAATTTTAATTAATCGGTTCGGGTAAATATAATTGAGTGATTCAGATAACTATAATTGATCGTGTCAAAAGACCTGCGAATCGTGTTGCTCATATGTTAGCTAGGGCAACTATTTCAAGACCAGATTGTATGAATAGCTATATGTTTCCACCTGATTACATTGTAAGCCAGTTGGCTAACGATTGTTTAGATTTATAAAGTATGAAAGTTTTCAGTAAAAAAACAACCATTAACGTAATCTATAGCCTCACCCGCCACGAGTTAGGATGATTTTACTCATATTCGAATTTTCTGATCTCATCTGATTTGGTTTGATCTGAATTGGTGTTCTAATTATATGACCTTTATGTATTTTATAACTATCTATGTCTGTTCTGAAATTAAAAACAATCCAAGTAAACACACATCCTTATGATGTACGTTGTATGTACATGTTCATGTAATGTGTCATTTTTCAATCCCAAATAGACTAGACCAGATTAGACTTAAACAAATCAGACCATGCTTCCATAGTTATAACATACACATAAGCCAAACATTTATCATACTAGACTAATTCAAACCAAATCAGACTTAAACAGCCCATACTAGCAACTTCCAATCCAAGTAAAAAAACCTCTTTAACCTTGAAGATGGAACAAATTGGGTAGAAATTAATAACTAAAACCTGACCAAATTCAAACCGAAACCACTTGGAATTCTTGATCCAGATCAAATTCGGTTTTATGGATAACAACATTCAAACCCAAACCACTTGGAATTCTTGATCCAAATCAAATTCGGTTATATGGATATTGGATTGGGTTATTCTGATTCTAGATAAAAGTCATAAAACTTATCACTTGCACATTGTTATCGAACTCAACCCCATCAATCCTGGTCTTGCACAATGATGACATCGCAAGACAAGACGAAAAAGCACCGTTAAAAATAACATCCCAAGACAAGACGAAAAAGCGACGTCAAAAATACCAAGTATGCTGTATGCATTGATTAAATACTGTACCTTGTAATTTCTAAATGGTCAATGAATACAAATCGTACTTTTACAAGAATTAAGTTGAGATAACACTATAAAACTAACAACAGACTATATGGGGATTAAAAAAATCTAGGCAGATTCTGATTTCACAAGCAAAATACAACTCAAAATCTCCATCTTTTTTAAATACAGAGGGAAAACTGTCAATTTGGTCCTCATACTATCACGAAAAAGTCGATTAAGTCTTCGTAATTAAAAAAAAAAATCAAATCCCTAACTTTGTAAAAACATTTAATTGAGTCCATTTGCAAGTTACTTGTCATGTCAGCACAAATAGCTGATTGGGCTGCCACATAGGTGCAACGTAAGCAAAGTCACTGCTGATTGGGCTGCCACATGGGTGGCACGTCAACAAGTGACATGCTGACATGACAAGTAACCTGCAAATGAACTCAATTAAATGTTTTTACAAAGTTCGTGAATTTGATCGATTATTTTAAAAGTACGAGGACCTAATTGACTTTTTGTGATAGTATGAGGATCAAATTAACAGTTTTTTCTAAATACAATATTAGTTTGGGGAAAAAAGTGGCCTAACCCAATTCATTAATACCAATATATAAAAAATAAATAAACAAAATGCAAATGAATGGGCAGAAAGTGTGTGTGTATCTTCATGCGAAGGGGTTTCCACCGATAGGAGCAATAGGCCCTTGTTTTGGCAAATCGTTCCTGCAAAATAATGAACCAAGTGAAATAGCACATAATAAATCTATTAACAAAGAGCAATCTCTCAGAGAAATAACACAACAAGGATGGCAATGGAGTGGGGGATACCCCCATCCCTGCATTGTCATGCTGTCGTATAGGTACCCCATTGTTGGTCTCTCAAAAAGGAGGTTGTAGGTTCAAGTCTCATCCCAATCAAGGATGTTGACATTATCATGAACAATTTAGGGTTTAAGTCCGGATAATATATCACCCATCCTTGCACCCCCCCCCCCCCCCACCCCCCGCAAGGCGAGTAACCGTGTTCCCCTTCTCCATTGCCATCCATACTCGAGAGATTAGATTTCTCTTTCATTACATTTGACGGAAATAGCAATTGAAACTTCATATCCCTCTTTCGATGGAGGGGTTTGAACTTTGGAGGAGATCTTTACACATATGAGAATTTATGAGAAAATGAGAGATTAACATAATAGTATGTGATTGTATAACATTTCAATTATGTTTTATCTGTACATGTGTACATAAGGAGTAATATATTTATGCAATTAAGTTTTACAAGGATGGACTCACAGTTGGCTGCCTGTGGGTTGTGCTGAAATGAATCCCGAGGTATCTGCAGTACGAGCAGTCATAGAAACTGAAAAAAGACCTGACAACATAATGAGATGGAAATATTACTCTTCAATTCACTATTACCTTCTCCCGAAGCTGAAACGTAAGATGCAACTGAATTCTGTGAAAACCAAGACTCTCTTTCGCCACCAACAAAGGGTGCAGGCGTCTTTCCATTTGGCAATCCAGCTTGTAAGGAGCTCATGTCCCAGAAATTGGGCTGAAAGTGAAAAGGTCACATGTTCAGACACAGGACATATCTAATGACAGCTATATGCTATGTAGGCTAAAAATATTAATTTAGCACCAATTTAGGCATTGATCATAGGAAATGGGTAAGATAGACATGAAACATTTCCTTTGAATAAGGTTTACATTCCATAATACTACCTCCGTCCCACTAAGAATGGGACAATTCGGTTTACGATGCTTCACCGACGATAAAGCAAACAGATCCTAGTCCGCACTCAAATTATTTTTAGGGAAAAAAATTACATATTCAGAAACTACATTAAAAGTTTTACAAAGTTGCAAAAACCAGAATCAAATTTGATAAAAATTTGATATATAATAAGAGATTAAGAGTGATTTGTGTTGATCAAGTGAATAGGAACTAGGAACTGGGACAATCTTAGCGGGACAGAGGGAGTAACTTAAATGGAGTAACCTTGTTTGAATGTTCGCAATTTGGTGTACAAGCCAAGTTTAGGTAACATGGACAATATGCAATAATGCAATTCATTAATCTTCTACTTGGATTAAGACTTCCATCCGACTTAATTATTTATTTGTTTATTTATTTTGGTCTTCCTTTTCGAAACCTTTCAGAAAATTGTTTTGTTCAGTAACAATTCTACATATGTTTCTAGTCTCCCATTTCAAATTAATAAACGGTTATCTAAGATATCATAAATTTCATCGGGTGCGGTTAAAAACTTAAATATTTAAGGGAAAAATAATTAAAATACCCCAAACTTTGAAGGGGTGTGAGATGAACACCCCAAACTTGCATATGTATTTAAATACCCCACACTTTATATAAAAAGTTATTTTGGCACCATAATCAAATATTATTTTTTTAAAAGTGTAAATTTATGGTGTTAATTTCATAATTTAAAAATATTTTAGAATTCATGAAGACACAAATAACATTATAAATTTCCATTGCGAAATAAATAATGTTACACCCAATCTATATAACTGCAACACTTTTAATTTGCTATTTTAAATTATGCAATTAACCCCATAAACTTACATTTTTGAAAGAAATAATACATGATAATGGTGCAAAAATAACTTTTTATATAAAGTTTGGGGTATTTAAATTACATGCGCAAGTTTGAGGTGTTTACTTCACACCCCATCAAAGCTTGGGGTATTTTTATTATTTTTCCCAATATTTAATGTAAATATGTGTGTTTGATGGTGTTAGAAAATATGATTCAGGATTCAATCAATCGTATATGTTAACTTTAATGTGTTTTATTTGTGACTTAGTATAAAGAATGTCTCGCAAAAAGGTTTAGTGAAATCCTCCAAATTTTGTTACATTCTCTAACAGTAGAAAGAATTATGGAATACATCAAATGTTTAAATAAAAAACATGAAACCACATTTCCTGTCATGCTGTCATCCTGCTGCTCAATATAGATGTCATTGGCAATGACTTACATATAGGACACGCGATAAGTTGGGAGAGCTGACTTACCGTACTGTTAATTTGCATGTCAGGTTCATAGGGAAGATCAAATGGATTGGTAGATTTGCTGTTTTCAAGTTCATGTAATCCGCCCTGTAAGTGAGCAGCTTATTGTGAAAATGAAAGATGAAGAATAGACTCCTCAAGAAATATGGTTGCACAAAGAAACCTACATATGATGATATGGTTTGGTTGACAACTTCCACTCCTGTTCTTAGAATTCCATGATCAGCAAAGTTCTACAAGATAGAAACTTATTAGAAATGCAATAACCAAACAATTAATTAGCAGTTATAGAAACGTTTAGTTACCTCTGATCCTTTTAACCCCAGATATTGATCAGTAATAGGAAGATGGCTGGTTAAAACCTCTTGAGTACTAATTTGATCCCTTTGTAATGCTAAGAAATCACTGGAACCCCCAAATGCTTTCCATGGCTGCACCAGAGGATAAAAAAGAGTTAGTGTAAGTTGTGTTCAACATCCATTCATACAAATTACAAACAGAAATCATGTCTGCTACAGTAATTAGAGTCCAAGCTCAAACGCAGCTGCCTCTCAGTTTTCTTTAGTTCTGCTTCAATTATAATCACTTGCCTCAGAGCTTCCAAGTAGGGTCGCTTCAGTATTTTGGATGCCTCCATGTAATGGGGCAGGAATTGATGGATATCCTACTTGGACATCAGGATGCGGAAAGAATAGTCCACTCAAGGGAGATAAGTGATGGCTATAATTTTCTAAAGTGCCAGAGCCAATTTGTGCTGAGTGATTTGGCATGTCAAACGCTGTCCAGCCACCATCCATGTGGGTAACAACATTTGATAGGCTTGTGTTGGATACTGCATTTGACTGCTGATGTGGCATCCCAGAGAAAAGTTTTAACGGGTCGGGTAAAGGTGCTGCAAAAGCTGGTGTAAACTTCTCACTTCCCACAGGTGCATTGTGCTGAGGCGTGTCAAATGTCGCCCATCCCTCGTTTTTCAAGGTGTTGTTACCAGAGTGTGCAGCTGATTGCTGGTTAGGAACCTCTGATGAGAATAAATCAAAACCTGATGCAGGAATGTGTGAAACTTGATGTGAATCAAGACTTGGATCAGTTGATGCAGAGAGCTGCTGAAACAAATCAACTGAAGAAGTTGATGATGACTCTGTCAAATGAGCAGCGTTTGAGAATGAAGGAGTAGTTTGTGAAGTTCCAGGTACATTACGTATGTCCACCGATGAGTGAGGCAAAGAAGGTAAAGCAGACAATTTATTGTGGTGGGTCTTGACTGATTGTTCAGGCTCTGAACCAGCATCAATTAAATCAGAAGAGCTTACTGAATTGAAAGAAACGGAGTTGTCGAATGATCCAAAGCTTCCTGATGATGCAGTTCTCTGAAATAAGCAAATTAACGCTCCAGCTTTAGGGGACACAATAATGAAGAAACATCACTCTTACAAGATAAGCCAGTTTAGCCCCTCTTGATACACCATTGCCTTAATTTCTCAATTTTCAATTCATATCTCTGTAGTTTTTTCTTAGTAACTACAGAGTCCCACTGTTGCTTATCTGTTGTAGCGGTTTGACTAACAGTTCCAAATTCATGACTTTGACCAAAATATATATAATTATCTATTCGTTTTTTCTTTTGACAAAATTATCTATTCGTTTTTTTTTTGACAAAATTATCTATTCGTTAAAATTATAAAAATGATGTGTCTAAAGCATACAAGGGGGCAAACTTAACCTTTCACAGTAGGCTATAAGAAGATCTATTCTTCTATATTAGTTAGAAATATAGGGTATGTGAGTAATGCAAAAAAAAAGTTTTGCAACTTAAAGTGATGGAGGAAATGTTAAATTTATTCCAACCACATTTCGGGATCAACAAACTTTGAAGCCCACACCAATCTTGACTTTAATATTCTTCTGACTACCATATTTAACCAAACAGTGCCTTTGTTACATCTTTTATGTGTCTTCCCTATCAAGCACATTCTAGAAATGACATATGGATGTTAGCATAACCTGTGTACGACCAGGAAACCCTGTATCTTTTTGGTAGTTAGGAGACTGCAACTCAGATCTAAATGGGTCGCCTCCACTAGAAACAGAGAAATCTGAAGCTCTAGTATCAGAACCCTCATTTGCAAACCTGTCCTCATGCATGTGGTCACTCAGATGACTAGGACTTGAGAAACTGGAAACTTTCCCTTCATAAATCCCTCTATCTGAACCAGGTTTTCTTGTAAGAGTAGGCCCGTGCTTTCCATAAATCCGTTCCTCATACTGGAAATCATATGGCGGACTTTGAGAATAAGAATGATAGGAACTTGCCCGTCTCGACTCATCTTCATGGCCTCTAAGATTCTGGCAAGTCAAGGCATATCCAGCCAATTAGTTGGGAAAAATCATGACAACGCTACAGCATAAATCTCCAAAAGAGTAAAAACAATGGGTAGTTTGCACCAAGATACAATTTCAAGAATTTTACTTGTGTATCCCTTGGCGGTCTATCCAACGACTGTCCCCCATCATATCTTTTATCCACAAAAACAGCCTTTATAAATTCTCGAACTTTTTCAACGTTACTGAAAGTTAAAAAAATACTGGAAGTTAGAACAACCAAAAACTATATTACCTCTGTGGCTCTGTCCTATTGGACATTACCAACTTTGAATTGGGTGAGAAATAAGAAAAGTAAAACTTGTGTGGTTGAGGTTTGTGCAAATGAGAGAGAAAAGAGCAAAACAACAAAATAGTTACTTTAATGTGAAGTGGCAAAGTTTTTGGGACAACCAAAAAAGAATGTGGCGAAGTCCAATGGGATGAAGAGAGTACTATAATCTGAAATATAATAGATGCGTCTAGGCAGATTTATATACCTGTTAGCTGGTAACCTTTGTCTTTGGAGATCCCAGCTTTTTAGATATGTCTCCCTCGCTCGCTGAAAAATTAACAAACTATCAAGAACACATTAGATATTGTATAGCTAATTGATAGAGAGCAGATTCAAACATGTGTACCTGATTACCACCCTTTTGAAGAGCTTCAACTTCTTGCGAAGTAAACTTAGCCATTGATACGGACTTGACACGATGAGTAAACTCGCGACTGCAACAGAAGACAAGCTAAAATAGATTATAAGGAAAAAGTGGAAATACTGGAGGATTTTCATACCGCAACTTAATACAATTTATCTGTTACATAAAAAATAATGGATTCAGCTTAAAATTTGAAGAACAGCATAGCCAAATCGCCCTTTTCAAAGTCTTATTGCAATATTGCCACATCATAACCTCACTAAACCACCATTTGTCAAACTTCACTTGGCCAATGGAGAAATCTATGACAAGTCCTGTGAACTTCATACTTCTGGAAGTGAGTGCATTTAGATATTAATTCGCGAAGTCCCAAACATTGCATGTTTGTATCAAGAATACTAATGACATAAATCTTTTCTAGAATTTGCGAAAAGCACTGGTGGAGCTCTACATATAGTTGGAAGGGGGGATTTATTTACAATAATTCCCTGCACACCAAGTCTCTACAAATTCAATACATTTTCAAATACTTTTCATCAAGGCCACACTGCTTTACAGTAATTGTCAACTAAACTTACCAAACCTTCATCTTATTCACTTCAAAGAGAAAATTATTCCTTTTTTCTAAAAGGAGACGAAGAGTCAAATCGGGGAAAAAAATAACAGTAAGAATACAGTAATAGGATAATTAGAAGACAATTTTGTAAGGTCTTTCTTAATAATAATCAACATAGTTTATGAATAAAAATGTTACTACAATTACTATGAGTATAATTACATGATCACTGCAGTGTAAAATTGAACATGATCAACAACATTCAAGCCTTAGGCCCAAAGGAATTTGAGGTTGGCGACTAATAAAGTCATGCATAAGATTGAACATGATCATGGTCATTACATTTCCTATAGTGGTCCCTCCGTATTAAAAGTTACATTTTTTGTCCACTATAGTATTATAGTCATATATCGGTCATTATTTCATTTTATGAAGAATTGCGGGGAGGGGGTTATAAAAATTTTGTTAAGTGATACAATAATAAGGAAAATATTTGAGATTTTGAGGAAACGCTTATTCTTGAGTTTATCTCAAACAATAATATTGCCTCAAGAAAGTATCTAGAAAAGATGCTTTATACATATTTTATTTTATTTTAAGATAATAACTTCATAGAGTTTGGCGCATGTGTTTAGATTGTAGACTAAAGTAATGGGTGGACCACATAGGAAATTCACTCATACAGTATCAATTTTGTGGATTATTTGCAATTTGCACCAATGCATCATAGTGCACAGGGCCCAACCAATGTTGTATGAGCCCAGATCTAAATGATATATTGAAGCTGTGCTGAGAGTTGCATTGTATGTTCGACTGTTCATCAAATGAACAAGCAGCAACATGTCTCGCGGTAAATGACAACAACACCACATGCGAAGGAATTGATGATTTGTTTTTGAATAGAAAGTCACGTTCATATAGTTCATGTTTGAGGAAAGGGCAGTGGGGTTACCGAACACCTCCCACATGGCCACAATACAGAGATATGAAAAAAGAGATTTCTGATATAAGCATGGATAAATACTCCACTAGCATAAGACTTTCTTGGTGAGTTGGTGGTGCTTCCTCAATAATACTGGATTGAGCCTAACCAAACTCAATAATACTGAATTGGATTGGGGTCACATAACTCAACCAGAACTTGGGCCTAACCAAATTAAAGTTGAATCTAATTAATTAGCCAGTTCAACTCAAGGTCTTATGAACTCACCTTATTAAGATTGTTTTGGAACTCTAACATTTATTTAGTCCTAACACGGACAAATATCATAGTTGTCGAGAATTGTGTATATAGGATGCACCAGCAAACAATACACAGAGTGAGACATGCTTCAGATGCCTCTTAAACAACTATGGGTACAGTCTATACTATTTTTCTTTTCATGAAAATATGTGGAAATACATGGAAGTTTCCATCATTTTCAATGGAGCCAAAGACTCACTATTTTTTGGCTTGGAAATATGATGGAATAAAGCAAAATGGCTCACTAAACTGTCTGCGCTTCTTTGTTATGAAGTAACGGTCAGCCTATGCAATTTTTGACGTGATTTTCACTACGGGTCATTCGGAAACAGTCTCTTTGTGCTTTAGTACAGGGGTAAGACTGCGTACATCCGACCCCCCTTACCCCACCGTAGGTGGGAGCCTTTGCGGCACTGGGGTGATGATGATGATGATGAAAATACGTGGAAGAAAACCCAAGAATAAAACTTAAAAGTTAAAATGAACACTAAATAATGTGAGCTGATACCCAAGGAATAATTAGGATCCATAACATCAGAACCTAAGAAGTCACTTTTGTGAACTGATAATCACTTACTGTATTCCACTGCAAGTCATACAAACAAAAGTCCAGAAGTTTGTGCAGACATACTGGGGTCCCTACAAGAACAAAATTTGAGCTGGGGGCGGTCAGAGCTAAAGTAACCAATAGAACTGAAAAATGCCTAAGAACAAAATAGTCAAACCAATGATTTTATATATTTTGACAGTATTGTATTGAATCTGGAATCTTTGCATACTGCGTATTTAGTAGAGAAGAGATGAAATCACACACTAGACACTGGAAAAATAGTGCTTGGAAGTTAAAATTGAAATAAAAATCAAAGAAAGGGAGACCCCTTTGTGCAGAAGCACATCATATCATAATCATAAAAAAGAGAACATATATGCTATAACTTGATGGAATCGTTACATCAGTGCTTAGATGGTCCAAGCAAGTGAAAGAAGAAGGTGAAGCAAGGAACGGCGCGTACCAAGCTGTCGCAGTTAAAGCATCGGCGATTGGGAGGGAGTTTCATGAGCCCGCGGATGATCTTCTCGTTCCGCTCCTCTTCTTTTTTGTTGCTCATCTTCGCACCTCACCCTCCTTAACTCGATTCTACAGTTAATTTCTCCAGAAGCGAACGAATTTACTCCAGAAACAGAAAACCGGAAATTAAGCCGAATATACGGAATACGAATACAAATAAGTATGCACAGCATACATGGAGAGAGAAATTGAGCGGAAAGGTAACAGTAAGATGATGAGCTCACTTCTCTCTCCGCCCTGTGGATTTCAATTTCGGATCATCAGCATCTATCGATCTACTCCCCTCTGGAGTAATAAGCAGCTGTGCTGATTTGTATGTTATGCTATAAAAGGGGCAGTAATCATTGATCGACAGCAATAATTTTGTCTAAGTTTTTCAATTCCATGTTTCTGCTGTTACCTCTGAACTTTCCAATTGCAGAGTAATTTATTAAAAATTTAAGGAATGCGAATACTTGAAAGAGATAAGATTAACACAAAATTTTAGATTCCGTCTAATCTCAATGTCATTATAAATATTGTCAAAATAGATAATGTCACAATACTATAAACATTGTCAAAATACTACGTATATACTATCCTTCGTATCGCATTAGTTGCAACATTGTAATATATACATTATTCATGTTCTTTACTTTGACTACATTTTATTTTTACTAATACGGAATTAAATCTAATGACGGTCAAAGTTGTGCGTTGCCAAATATGAAAAATAGAATGTTGCAACTAAAAAGAGACGGAGGAAGTAATTGTTTGTTTCGGAATCAACCATTCAAAGAGGCTCACATTCTCGCCTTTGTAAAAAACTAGATACTCACCTGCGCGATGCGCGGACGAAATTGTATCAAAGTCTAATTAAGAAGTGTATTATAAAAACACAAAAATAATTGAACTCATAATGAAGTGGTAAGTAATATAGTAATTGTTCGTAGTTAAAGATAAACTGTAACATCGCCAACGTAGTGTTAATGTAATTTATTTTGGCATAGTCAAATGTAAATATTAAAAGAGAGAGATAACATTTCGAACTATGAAGAGGAGAGTAAAATAATAATTGTTCGTAGTGAAACTATAAATTCTGAAAGACTTCTTTGTAAACAACATTAGTAGTATGATCAATCTGTTTGTCATCTTCATTACAGATCAATATTTTCAAGCCTTTGCGATTGGTAACTCTTGACGCTGCGACGTAAAGTTGACCATGAGTGAAGCATGGTTTCTTTAGTAAAAGTCCAACATGTGTTAGAGATTGACCTTGACTCTTGTTTATAGTCGTCGCATAAGAGGTCATGATTGGGAATTGCCTTCTTTGGAACTTGAACGGTATTCTTGCATCTGAAGGTGTTAATGTCAATCTCGGTATGACTACTTCTTGACCATCAAATTTTCCTCCTAGAATTGTTGCTCCAAGAACATGAATTCCAAGCCTTATAATAATCATCCTCGTGCCATTGCATAAGCCCATGGAATGATCAGTGTTCCTCAAAAGCATAACCGGAGTACCTACCTTTAGAGTCAACTCATGATTTGGAACACCGGATGCTCGTATCTTATTTAAGAATTCTGGTGTATGCAAATCTGCCATAAAATCAGAATTACAGTCTGATTTGCAAATGCTATCAGAACTCAAATATGTCCTACATTCCTCTGTGACATTCAATGCAGTCATGTACTCATTAATTGCGGCAACAACATCTAGTGTTGGGGCCAAAATTGCACGTTCTTTTAGGAATGATGGGTTAGTTGGCATAGCTTCAAAATCAGGATTCGTACTGCGTACAATTGTTGAAATAGGGTCTTCACCACTTTGAAGCAAAATGTCACTTGGTATTTGTATATCAGCACAACCATCATTTTCACCACCTGTTGTTCCATCTCCCAAACTTGCTATCCACTCAGCAAACTCAACCAAGTCAGCATAATCACGATCGTTACTTAACGATTGTAGTCTCATGTTCTTCGTTAAGCGTAAAACAATGCAGTCTTGCCATATGTATGAGGAATTAATTGTGGCATTAACTATGTCTTGTCTTGTACCTTTGGTAATCACCAATAAGATTTGTATGAAGTCTCCTCCAAATACAATAGTTTTCCCTCCAAACGGCTTATCATTATTTAGAGGATGCACAACCCTGAGAATGTCACGAAAACTTCTATCCAAATCTTCAGAACAATATTTATGCATCATCGGTGTCTCATCCCAAATAATAAGTTTCGACTTAATTATCAATTGGGCAAGTGGACTGTTTTGCTTGATGTTGCATGTCGAGTGCTCGGTAGGGTTGATTGGTATTGCAAAACGTGAGTGAGTTGTTCTTCCACCAGGCAATAATAATGAAGCAATCCCACTTGAAGCCACGTTTAAAACAATTTCACCATTTGACCTTAAAGCTGCTGACAACGTTTCCAAATAAACGTTTTTCCTGTACCCCCGTAGCCATATACAAAGAACACGCCACCTTTGTTCTCTTCGATTGATTCCATAATAGTCTTGTAAACTTCCCTTTGTTGCTCATTCAAACTCTCCATGCATTTTTCATGTTGTTCGCGCATTTCGGCATGATCATATTGCAACTCGTCATAAATAAATATGTTCTGAAACATGGTTGCGTTACTAAAATTAGGAAATGGCATTGATGGGTAGTCTCTTAAACTTCTTCCTCCAGTCCTCAACATTATCTCGATCTCAACCAATGCATAATTCTTTATTTCGGCTTCCGTCAACTTTAATTCTACAACAAAACGTATAAACATTTAGTTCCACGATATTTTTTTATACCATATTATAAACAATAATAAACTTAAAAAAATTGTAATTTTTTAATAACCTGGATGTAGCAAAGCTCGTCGTTTTCTTAGTAGAATGTCATCGGACATGAAATTCCAACATTTCTCCCAAACATATTCAGGTGTACTCATTGTATCTGCTAATAACAATATGACAAACAGAACTCTCAGTCTCCATGCAGAAGCCCAAAAACTACTTTCCGTAAAACCTTCAATGTACTCTTTATCACCGTCCAACAAACCCAATGCGTAACACGTGTCACGATATGATTCATAACAAACCCCATCAATAGTCCGCAAATCGGCGAAAGACGTAGCACCACGCTTTAAATTCAGAATACACCGCAAATAAAAAGATTCTCCTGATCCTGGAGGGACATATGCCACTCGACCCAAAGCAAAACCCCTTTTCCGAGGAACAAATTCCCTTGTTGTTGGCTTCCAAACAAACTTCTGAGGAAATTCAGCATAAGTTAAATTTTTAGCGTTTGCATACTGATCATTAGCCTTCATCCATGCCAGAAACATGCTTTGTTTAACAGATTCATGTTGTACAACATCTGTCATTGCATCCTCGTCTTCGAAGTATACATAGTGCTCATCAGGAAAGTGAAAGCTCAAACGTTCAACCGAGGGATTCTTATATTGTATCTCAAACCCTAATATACGCCACATTGCCTCACACGGTGAAATGTATCTGCAATCATAGTACAATTTAACTTCATCCACGGGCTTTTCTGAGTCATCTTTATCCTTATTTGTGGTCTCATAAAATGCAGCTGTAACGCGATCATTACCTTTATTCACATATTTGAAAAGATACTTGATAGACCTTGATTGGTTACACCACTCCACATTAAGATGAGCCCCATACTTCATTAACAAATACCTATTATGTGGAACAACATGTCTGTTGTCAAGTGGGACATGATTCTTGACAATCGTTTTCCCATCATCCCGTCTCATGTACTTAGGATGACCATCATTGTCAATGTTAGTATGTACATTGAAATTCTGTGGAAAGTGCTTAGAACACTTAGAATTTACCATGCACGGCGCGTTTTTGCAATCACTCCCACATGAACCATGCATCATATGCATTCGTACAACATTAAAATAATCAGGATCGCTTGACTCATCGGGTATTTCGGCTGATATAATGCGATCTATATCTCCAGGAGTGGGGAATTTATCTGCATTTCCCATGACCAACAAAATATGGGCATGTGGAAGGCCACGCTTTTGGAACTCAATAGTGTAAACTACTGCATGAAATAAAAGTAAGCATTGTCATCAATTATTATTTAACATGAACAATTACTTTATTAATAATTAATAATTTAGAACAATTTAGAACACTTATTTTGCTAACCTGCTCGGACATCACCATAGACTTTATTATTACGTAAATCTTTGATCAATCCATCTAACTTCATCTTGAAGACTCGACAGATTATATCAGGTCGATCTTCAGGATTCAAATTCCTTCCCGAAAGGAACCTAACAATCTCAGGCATTTAGGTTTGCAAGTGAAAGTCAAGAAAAGATCTGGATATCCAGCCCATCGACATATAGCCATTGCATCTTGATAGTTTTGAACCATGTATCTGGCTCCTCCAACAAATGTGGGTGGTAGGACTATTCTCTTTCCTTGGGTAGAAGCATCTCGTTCACCACTCAATAATGCCTCTGAAAGGCCTTTGTACATTTCACATCTTAATTGCTTTTGATGCAACTTATACTATCGTATAAGTTAGTCTAGATGATTCAACCATCGTGTAACCGTCTACCACAAATTGTTGAAACAATCTCCTAGCTTTGAGGATAAAGAAATTCTCAATACCACGATCATGTAATCGATATGCAAGAAATTCGCGTATGCTAACACTTCGGCGACCTTTAGTGCCGGTACATCTAGAATCTGAAAAACTTATATCCTCTCTATACCCATCTTCACCATAAGGAAACAGAAGTGGATACGGAATCCCCAAATAAGCAGGATTCAGCTCATTGATTCGTTTCAAAACACCCCCTTGAGTTTCAACCATTGTGTCTCTTTGCCCCAAAGATTCATCAAAGTCACCAACTATCAAAGCCGCCACTTCAGACACCATGGGCAAATTATATGTTCTAGCATCTCTACCTCTCCGGCCAATCAACTTCAAGTTAACATTACAATGTCCACATTCTGCAATCTTATCTCTAACCATCCTTAACGTTATGTTGATCCAACAGTAGCCTTAGGGTAGAGACAATATCAACATGCAATTTGTTCTTTCGTAGATGATCCCTGAAGTTGGAAAACAAAAGTACAACAATGGTTACTAAAATGACATAATGAAAAAGAAAAATAATTTATCTTGTATTAGGTTATTACCCCACTGATTTAAGGCGATTGACATCTTCATGTTGTGTGTCATAGATATACAATTGGGCAAATTTGGGGAAATTTCCTTCCACGGGCAACAAACTACCAATGAGATGATAGTTTTGACCGCCAAGTTTAAAGACTGGAGGTGACCCACCCCTATTGATTTCTTTATCAACCCTTCTGCCCATTGATGTGAAAGAAAACATACTATTGTATGATCGAATATTATCCTGAAAGTGTTTGGATTTGGGATCCGTGCCATTCATCAAATCACACAATTCTTTTGGAGCCTCTTTGTGAGTTGGTAGTTGGATCTTCCCTTGACCGTAACATATAGAATACTTAG